CCCCGGCAGATTAGTTCGACCGATGCAAGACCACATTTCACCGAACGAGTGGGCTAAAACAGTCCGGTCTTGCCCGCGCCCCGGGGCAATCAACATTTCAAGAAAAAGGAAAAGGTGAAACCATCTGATAGAAATACTGGCATTGCGGGAATCTCTGCATAAATTTACCGAGCCAGTAACTGAAAATCTGCAGCGTGCAACCATTCTTCCTCAAATTTTCAACAACAATGTATAGAATTTTGAAGCGGCAATACATACTATCTTTCCTCTATCGATCGATTCGCAAATCTCGGTCATTGGCAGAACAATGCCCATCGTCATCTTGTGATGCATGCAGCAAATTATCCAAGAACACAGATGTGAGTACCAATAACAATGTGTTATCCTCCACTATAATGATATTGACGCCCTAAAGTTAAGCCCTGCAACTGTACCTCGGGAATCCCCGGGTGCAATGATGGACTCTCTGTTGCAGGGCTATCTTCCCAAGTTCAAGCCACATCCTCTGGGGTGGGAGGTAGAGTCTCTTATGTCCTTGAGCCCTGCACAACAGATGTGCTACTACAATGGGAAACTCTTTGGCGGATATATTGCTCTGTTGATGGACCAAATTCTTGCAGATTCCTGTAAGAATGCGGTGACAGCCACCTTGAACACGTCCTACCTCCAATCGGTCCCACCAACGGCGCCGATACTACTTCGTGCATGGCCCGATAGGGTTGAAGGTCGCAAGATTTACTTAAAAGGATCTCTCCAGATCCCAGGAAAGACTTCGCAAAATTGGGTTGACGCGATCAAAACGGAAGCTTTGTTTATAAGGCCAAAAGATTGGGAATAATGATCAACGTTTTGCATCATATCATGTATCCACTTAGTATGCTCAGTTTGGCTTACTTGTTTGGGAAGTCGTGATCTACGCAACAATGAAGCCTTCCAGTACTGTATCAAAGAACTATTTACTTATTTCCAGCGGGGGGTTGGAGTTACTATTATCTTTGCGTGTGTGTCAGCGACTCTACTGCAAGGCCTCCGCATTAATTGTCGTCTATTTATATTATTAACTGATCGGCGTATCCTCAGATTGTTTCGGAATCATATGTCTGTCCTGCCGCTAATCCCTGACTACGATACTAAATGCAAAGTTATGTGCGGGCGTTGAACGCCGGGTCTGTGAAGTCTAGGCCGAGGTTGTCCATCGTTTCTAATAGATCATCGACAGATATTTTCTATACCAAATAGAACTTTGTAAGCGTCGTAGATACCTTTTCAATCAACTTCAAGAGACAGCTTACAAGGACCATATCTTCTGCATCCTCGAGTGAGAAACGCGTTAACTTGTTGACTGACTCTTGACTTCGAACAAAGTCTTTCATCCATCGGTCAATGGCGCTTAGATCCCATTGACCATTGGCGAATTTCAAATATGGGTATTGCTTGGTTGTACATATGATTGTTCGTTCGATGGCGGCGAGAGAACGATCGTATCCTCGACGCAGAAGCAGGCCCTGGACCGACTTGGGACGGATGCATCGGGCCACGAAGTAGATCGTGATCAGAATTTCCTCATTCGACCAGTTTAACATGATAAACCCATTTTTCACCCTCGCAGGTGCTTCCCGCTCGGCCAATTTATACGGTTTCTCAAGTGGCAAAAGCCTCTTCAACGAAGGCAGTTTAATGAGGGCTAGTGCTTCAGCAATCAGAAGAATGGAGGGCTTGCAATGAACTTTCGGCTTACCTTGCTGTACTGCATAGGTTGCAGTGCAACATTGCGACGGCAAAGACGACCGATCCAATTGTCCTCACTTGCTCCCAGAAAAGCCTGTTCATTCAGAGGAACCGTTTCTTCCTCAACAACGACTTGTAGACCCGACTTATTTCCTACTCGTTGAGATGCTTGTCCATGTTCATGTTTAGCTTCAACACTTCGTCCGCCATTAGGCGTTTTAACGATTCCGATCCATTCCCAGTCTAGCATACAGGCTCCGTGACGCAGATATTTGGTGGCTTGTTATTCGACGGAAGGCCAGGATCCATCATAGTACCCTCCCTTGCTTCAAGTTTAGGTAGCATTAGCAAAAGCCCGTTGCACGGCCGACGCCCTGGTCTAGAATAGGGCTCACCAGCGCTGGCTTTGGTATCTATCTCTAGATAACGAAAAGCAGTAGTCAAGAAGCTGCATTAGAGAGCCTACTACATGCATTACCGCATTGCACTCAGAGAACCTGACCGCCGTGGACACGCTAACGGGCTGGTATCGCATCAAATGAAATCTCTTTCTACAAACTAGCTTGAAGACTAAAAGCTTCGCAAATAAACCTTGACATCCCCATGATTGCGTTCCTTGGCGATGGCATATGCTGTCTGGCCATTCGAATCTTTCAGTCGCTTTTTGACACCACGCTGATTGGCCAACAAATGTACAATCTCATAATGCCCATTAGCCGCAGCCCACCAGAAAGATGTCCTCTTCTGATCATCCATCGCATTCACATTTATATCGGGATGCTCCAATAACATTCTGGCAACTTCAAGCCTACCTTGAGCTGACGCGAACATGAGCGCAGTAAAGGAGTGACGGTCTCGGTCATTGATCAGTAAATTTTCTTCATAACTGAGAAGGAGACGGATAATGTCGACATGCTCCATAATGACTGCAATCTGAAGGGGCGACACCCCTGATGGGCTTTTTTGGTTAATGTCGGCTGAATTTTCCAAGAGAAATTCCAAGACTGGAAACTGTCCTGCGCGACATGCCGACCAAAGTGGCGGTAGTGCATCGGTAGATTGAGGGCTTATATGAAGCCCCGGCTGTCGGAAGAGGATTTTGACCAAGCCTAATGAACCATTTGCAGCAGCATTTGCCAACGGTGTCTGGCCCAACTTGTCGGCGCAATTCAGATCCAGATTCATTTGTTGCAAGAGCAGCTCAACCAGTTTTGCGTCGCAATTGTCCACCGCATACCAGATTGCGGTACGTCCATTCTTATCTCGATAATTTAGGTTGATGTATGGACTCAAAAGCAAGGCTTCAATGATAAGCAGCCTTTTGTTGGTCGGGAGAAAACGACCGTATCCTTTGACTGCCAGAAGCAACGGAGTTTCCTGTCTGTCGTTGGAACAGTTGACATCAACTCGCGGATTCCGTACAAGCATCTGAATCGCCCCATAGTCGCCAATGTCTACCGCTATATGCAGTGGTGTTTGGCCATGATGATCGCAGATGTTGACATTTGTCCGCTCATCGGACAAGAGAAGCTGGAAGATATAAGATTGGTGGCAAGCTAGTGCGGTTGTAATGGGCGCATTCCCATCCAGGGATTTGTTATTGATATCAATATCCGGCAGACTGATGAGTCGTTCGACAATTTTGACGCTTCCATGCAGGACTGCGATCGAGAAGGCACTTTCTCCCAAAGTATTACACTGTATGACTTTCACTGAATGATGGCTTAATAGCAAATCAACAGCGTCTGCGTACCGCAACTGTGTAGCCAACATGAGAGGTGTAAAGCCAGAATACATTTCGTTGATGTCTGCCTTTTCCCAACCCAGAGAGTGCTGGAGGATGCCTAAGCTTCTATGTTCGATCGCCCAGTGAATTGGCGGGGAATCTTGAAAGTCTATGCAATCAAAGAGGCTCTTTCTGAAGATGACGTTAAATTCTCGAGACGTAAGACACAAAGTTCGAAGACCTTTCTCGTCGGTAAACTTGCCAACCCAGAGAAGGATTTCCAGTGGAAGTCCCAAAAGCGGCATCTTCGCAGAGATCGTGGACTTGAGGTGGCACGACTGGTCTAGAGAGTTGGTAGTAACAGGAGGTTCCAAAATGATGAGAATTGAAAATTCTTGACGTGATTTGGAAAGGGAATCTCTCTCTAAAATACTAAGCTGTGTGGATGCGGATTCTCATTACCAGCATCGAGCCACCTGACTCCTAGGAACTTTAGTTCTTGCGCTAGGATCAAGGTTTGGGTACAAAATCGTGAACTATGCATGATGTGTTGTTGACCCTGACGGAAGGCTGCGGAAATGGAGATCTGATTCCTGGGGCTCAACTATGGGTTCCTGGGAGTGTATGGGCTCTCAGGAATACCGGTGTCGCTCCTGGAACCTTAATATCATGCTCCTAGGAGACCTGATAACGATCCTGGAAGCCATTGATCTCCCAGGAATCTTTAAAGGCTTGGATTTTCTGGCTTCCCATGCATTAATCTAATGGGGCTGACTGAAGGGCTCTAATGTGCTCCTACGCTAGATAAATTTGTAATTTTACCAAGAGCAGAGTGGATTGCGGTCTACTCTAGATCAGGCCTAGTTACTACTCAAGGCCCAGGGAAAATCCAGGTCACGTCCTGCCACATTTTGCCAATGCCTGATTTGTCCCACGATGAGCCTTCACATATCATCAAATTTAGATTTCACGCATCAGAACTCATGATGCCAGGACAAAAGGATTGCTGTTTTCTGCGATGCTTTGATCTTCTGTGTCATCTGAACCGGGGATGTTCGTTTTGACAACCAAGGTCCCACGTTTCTCGTATTGCCTCGCAAGTTCATCCGTCGTTTTTCGGATTGGTATTGGGTGGCTCAAGTCCTTTCTCGGTCAGCGTTGCCAACATTAAGGCACGGAAAGAAACAGTGAGATTAACACACCAGCTGGTTTGCAGATAGCGGCCATCCTTCCGACTTGGAAGTCAGAGTAAAGATCTGGCCGGTCTTCCTTATTCGTACAACAAGCTGAACATCAGCATCGCATTGCGTAGAGTATTCGAATGCCTTTTTGAAAAGTGTCTCCTTTCTGCGTTGCACTTTCTGATAAGCCCTCCTCGCGTGACTCGTCTTTTGGCCGCGTTGAAAAGTCGGTGTCGGCGAAGTAGGACTTGTTGACGCGGAATTGCTCATTAGCAGTCTTATTCTTGGGTTCTGGGGGTACTGCGCAATCGAGGAGCGGACATAACTGAGTCGATGCTTTTAATTTATGGGACCATTGAGCGTTCCTTAGGAAAGAATCGAGAAGACAAACGAGGTACTCATAGGTCCTCGGTCACATTTTATTCGGTCGCCATTTATGAGAGTGTAAATGGCCTCGGTCATAGGCAATATCCTCTAAAATGAGGGCGGTCATGTAGGCAATCCGTTTTTTTTTTTTTTTTTTTCCCNTTTTCTTTTTTTTTTTTGGCTTGGTCCCCCGACCGCTTTTGAGCCCGTTGCGGTCGAACATATACATCAGTAAAACCAAGCATTCTTTCAGCGTCTTGGAACCCAAATATCTGTTCTAGATCTTTCATGGCCCTCTCCTACATCCATATTGCGCCAAACTCCTTTGAGAGCAATAAGGATCTTACATGCAGGCAGAAGACGTGTGTATCAAGTTCAAAGCACTCTAAATTTCCAGATCTCTCGTCCCTAGTTTTTGACACTTTAATTGTATAGCCTAGAAGTAATAAGCGAAGTGTAGGCTCCTAAGCAAACCCTGATTCGAGGGATATTAGCATAGTTTGGGACATATACGTATGTAGCAGTTGTACATTACGAGACCCCGCAACAACCTGAGTCAGTGGGAACACGGCCCGTAGTATTGTAATTAATATTGTACTGAAAATATGGTATTAGTTTGTCATGAAAATCGGCTTCTTACACAGCCACAGATTGCCCGCACAGCCACTCCGTATTTGTATTGCCAAATTTCCATTATGGTACCACTATAACGAGTATGTTTAAAAACAATACATATTGGTCGTAAGTATTGAGTTTGGTCCGAGCATATGCAGCCATTCATCATTATTGGTTGTTGACTGAATGTGTACATCAAACTCATCGAAGTATACTCTGAATATTCAAGATTTCGACTCAAATGTACATTCTGTGGGTTGCCACATCGATATTGACACCCACTGGATACAAAATTGCTCAAACAACGGTGTCTATCATCTGAGTGTGTAAGCAGCTCCGGGCACTCTTGGGCTTCTAGGAATAAATAGCTCCTTGTCCTCTACGGCGAGCTCTGGCAGGTCTTCCGATTCCCCCATCAGACACGATGCACTCTCAATCTACTCAATATAAGTGCTTTTCATGTGACTTGTTCCACAAGAAATGCGAAAGATTGACCCAGAACTACTGTACGCAATTTATTTAGATTTTGCAGTAGTTGCGGCACTTACTGGAGAAGAAATGCTCAAGGTCCCAAGTATCCGCGGGTCTTTGTTCGGATTTCTACGTCAACAGGTCAGGATGCGAAAACACTGTTCATTAACGATGGCTCTGTTGTCTGAATCAACTGTAGTATGCATGAACTCCCGACCCAGAATGGTGTAGGACCATTCGGGCTGTATCAACAACAAGTCCTTATCACTTAGGTCTCGGGTTTCATTATCGTTTTCCTCATCTGGAAATTCGAGTAGACGAGTTTTAGGTTTGACCGAGATTTCTAAGTCGGGGGTCGATAGAATCCAGTTTCATTGCGTTTGAATCACCAGAATGCTTCACTGCACGCGAGGGACACCTTCGATGGCGCTCGGCGTCGCTCCTTGTATTCTTGATTTGGTGAGGTCGGCCCAGCCTCTGGCTTCTTCGGATATTCGATGTGCGCTTCACATGCTGGTCAGAGAGGTTTGAGTGGTTGTGTTTGCCGGCGGAGGTTTCGATCTGCTTGGAAGTCTCCCGGACATAACGTTGTTTGACTGCGCTCAGAGTTCTTCCAGGAAATAAGTCGCGGATACGACTCCATGGCAGTTTCTGTGAGTCTCTCAGCTTCAGTAATCGACTGTCATCTTCGACGGACCACTTCCTGCGCGTGATAGTTTGCCGTGCTTGTACGGTCGTGGCTTGTCGAACAGGATCCCCTATTACTGTGGCGCTTGTTGCAATGATGCCGTAAGCGTGCTGTAGCGTTTTTGTTGCAACCTGAAGCACCGCGAGATTTTCTTTGAGAATATCGGCATCGGCGAGATCATCAGAGAACTTGGCCTCAGCAGTGGCCAGGCTGTAAAACCGCTTCAGATATCGGATCGCATTCCCAAGCCCAGCGAGGTTATCTGCATAACTCTCTTCGCTTTCAAATGACGAACCTTCGGCTTTTGGTTGACTCGTTCGTCTTCTGCGTGACTTGGTTGCATTCATGGCGGTTGAATTCAAGCAACGGGGTCGTTTCGGGTAAGAACTGTTTAGGTCTTCCCAGGCACACTTGCTTCCGTTTGCAGTAAGATTCCTGTTGTCACCATCCTCAAAGACGTCGAAGACTCTCGTTGTTCCAGGTCCATCTAGGCCAGTCACGGAGGGAGTACTACTGACTCGAGAGGAAGGATAAAGCGCGACCTCCTGGGGGTAATCGGGGTAATTATTGGCGGCTGATGCATCGCTTTGATAGACATTAGGCGAAATAGATGGAGAGAGCCGGCCAATTTCCGATGCTAGAGATATCGTATTAACTCAAAAGGTGTTGAAGCAAATGTCAAGAATGTAACCTACCCACGTCCTCTGCCCTGTGCTCTTCTTGTGGCACATTGTTCTCCAGGTTGTAATAACCTTCTTCGCAACTTTCTCCTGAGGCGTTGAGTTTCTCTGTCACAACAACGGTTTGGGTTTCGGAGCAAATTGAAGAACATCTTTGTGGGGACTCCGTTGTTGGCGGCTGCCAGAAACTCTGATGATTCAGTGTGACCATGGCGAAAGCAAAGATATTTGAATATAGAAGAGTTGGAGTAGAAGACAGCGAGACAGGATTGAAAGGATATACAAGGCAATCGAGAAAGAAGGTATCCTTGTGACTATTTATATTTCAGGCCTCATTGTCACTTTATGCCCGTGATCGGCACAGTTTTTGGCTCCGTCGTAACGCAATATGGAAATGAGACCACCTACGTTATCGGTGCAACTTCTCAGCCCTTTGCCGTGGCCAATTAAACTCGTTCAATCTCGTTGTGGATCGACTGGAGGAAGTGATCCCAGGAACAATAGCATGGTGTTGACCATGTGGCGGGGTGGCGGGCTCCTTGTTCGGAATCATACTGATACCGGTGATTTATTTCTCCACTATGCGTAGCACGGCGCGTGAATGCATTCGAGGCCAATGGCAGGGCACGCGAGAATGTTTGCCCGATTGTAGCAGTATACGATGGTCCTGGGATCGAGCCAGCCCCGGATATAGAGAATTGGGACAACAAGGGAATCTATGTTAGGGTTATTGAATGGACGGCGGGACAGAGCCTGCATGTTGAAGGGAAGAGTGGATGGTGAATTGTAAAGGTGATGAGATGGTCAATCTCTCACACAAGTTGAAAGACATTGTTGAGCCGACCAACTGGAAGTTTACAGTGTGAAAGTTACTGTAGCAACGGGAGAATGCGCCATTTCCTAGTCATCGCTCCCAGGAGTAGGCAGCAGTGCGGATATCGTCGGAGCTTTTGAAAGAACGATGATGCAAGTTGAGATCAAACAGGCCGATCAGTCTGAGCACTGAGGTGAGCGATCAGGTTGCTCAGTGAGCTGCTCAGGGTCGCTCCGTGAGCTGCTCAGGGCGGCGGGGTGACTAACTCACCCTGTGCTCCGGGAGCCGATCACTTCCCGAGGCGGCAGTTTTACCGTCACCTAGATTACTATTATATTTTTCCGACCGTATAAAAGGAAGTAGGTCCGTACGTAGGTAAAAAATAGTAATATATCCTAATAAATTAGCACGTTATACGTCGTCTATTTTAGGTGACTTTATATAAAATTAGGCAAACAGGCATTGCCTATAATAGGCCGGGCAATGCCTATAGACAAAAATGGGCGGACCTTCCTATAGCCCAAACGCCTGTGGCCCATCCTGGACGGGCAATCGGCCTTACATTAAGGCCTATACTTTAAGGCCTATAGACGGGCATTGTCGCAGTCTACCTAGGATAAGCGAAGACACCCTATGGGCCAGCCGCCTACATAACGCCATAGCTGACGTGCTCTCGACTAACCTAGTCGAGTAGCGGTGTGGCCTAAGGCAACCTAGGTTAGGAAAGGGAAGTATGTTCAGATTCGTATGATATATATTTCACTGGAGCCTAGACACATGATGGAGACCCCTGAGCCATCTCCAACCTTGGAATGCGCCTGATGCTTGCTAATATGCAGTATATGCATACATCCTCACGTTACCAGTACAAATGTATTAATAAATGTAGACGAGGCCTTCATGTGGGAAAGAAACTATCTACAAGCTTTTAAGAAAAAGACCAATTATCTGCCAACTACTTCTAACTAGGCGGACGTTGTCTCCATTCGCTCTCGTCTTTGGAATTCTCCCATTCTCCCACAGGCCGTATCACTTGTTCTGCCTGCACTGGGTCAAGGCATTGATGTCCTGCGGCTCGGTCTCGAGGAAAGTAGTCTTCAACAACGCGTTGTTCGATACCAGCGCCGGCGATTGAATCTATCGCAGGTTGTTTGCCACGCTGATTTCTGGTCAAGGGCCGATTTGCAGCGTAGGCTATGTCTCTGTCCGACGTCACAAGTAGAACGCAATACTCTCGTTCCCGGATGCTTTCATTCACAGAACTTCCTTCCTCCGATTCCTTTCGCGAATCTGCTCTCTTTAGAATGGTCTTAGGGATGGTTTCCCGATTCGGCTCTCTTAGTTCATGGTTACGCAAATAATCGCCTTCACGCATGGGGCCTGGCAACGCTGCTCTAGCTGCAATTGGTCTCGGTTGTGCAGTGTCTCTCAGGGGACACTGCGCGGAATAGCGGCTGTATTGATCGCAATTAAAGCACTGAATGTCTCGAAGATCTGTTCCCCGATTTGGTATTTACCCAGCGCCTCGCCCCTCATTGCGGTTGTCACTTCTTCCTCGGTCATTCTCTTTTTTAGAGGATGCCATGGGACTGCTAGTGCTCGTGACCGTCCAAGTCATTGGCACATATCCGCATCCGACTCCGCAGCGTCCAAGTCCAGCTCCTCATGAAGGTCTGATACTCCTCCAGCTGCTCGGTTGTCCACGAGGGGAAAGCCGGCGTGACCGGGGTCTTAATGCTATCTCGCGTACTCAATGGCACCCGATACTCCGCTTCATCGTTGGCGCTATCATCTTGATAGTATTCCACCACGTCTTCCTCCGTGCCAATGCGCAAGTCTCGCTTAATTGGTGGACCAACAGCACCTAAATCACCGTTGGCGTCAAATATTCGCTGCGCTAAGTCAATTCTAGGAATTACACTCATTCTATGCTATATGGCCGACCATTGGTCTATCGCAGAACTAGCGCGTACCATATCTCTTGGAATCGACAAATAGGACGCTTAAAATGGCGTCAAACCTAGCCATTTTCGGCGCCCAATTCACCGTCCCCTAGCGTTGTGGTGGTACTCAGTAAAGCCTTATTCTCAAGCAACAGCTGCTTATCACGGAGAGCAGAGAAAGACTTCATTCGGAAGATTAATGAAGGGCATCAAATTCTTGAAGGCCATTGTCTCTGAAGCCTTCAGTCAAGGAGGTAAACTGTTTTCTTTATATCCGAGTTGGTCTATGTCTATTCAACTCTCTGTCTCTATGTACATATTCCTTATGACACCTTCCCAGTTTCATAAAGACCCAGCCACTATCATTTCTAGTTATTCTTGAGTCATCCATCCAAAGAGATGCACATCCCAACTGATGTTCCCTATGTCTAACGACAGGGAATAACCATGACATCTCACCTAGCGCTGGAAACAACAACTAGCAGTCTTCACGGCCAAGTTTCCTACCTAATCAAAACTCAAAGGCCGATGTAGTTCGGAGTTGTTTCCGTGAAAGGCCGCCACCCCCGCATGCCGATCAACTGTGTTTACCCGGCATCAGAGTTACATGGCCAATGTCTCTGTACCATATTATGTGCGGGGAAGTGCGACACTATGAATTGTGATTTAAAACGCTTCAGTGTAATGTGGGATTCATTTAAGCAGAGAATCTTCTCTATCCCTTGGTCATGAAGCTTCTCAATTTCACGCTTTACACGCTGTTTGTGTGTATATCCACCACCCAAGCAGTGATATTCAAGCCACAAAATGAATATAAGAGTTTGACCCACAACAATGCCTCTGTGCCTATTGACCTTAGTTACTACTTTAACAATCGTGCATTTGGACTCAAGCCAAATGATTCTAGTTTCGATGGCTCAGGGAGTGAGTAGCTCGGGCGTATACAAATGAATTAGATTGACTGTCGACAGATTCCTATCCAGCAGATCAAATGCCACCTTCTCAATTTACATACGGAGGCATCAACTATCGGTTTTCCAACTTTAATTCTTCAGGATATGACAATGTACTAGTACAAGGACAAGAGATTCTTGTCCCAAGATCGAGGTATTTCAGTTACCAGATGCTTGCGGCTTCCGAGACAGGCATGGCATCTGCCTCTATTGAAGCAAAGTATAGTGATGGCAGCACGACATCTGGGCCTCTCTTAGTTCCGGCTTGGTGGAGCTGGCCATATCCTGCTGGTGCAGACCTTTCGTTCGGACATTATTTGACAGAAAATACCACCAATTTCAATCGATCCAATATTTTCCAGACTGTCAACTGGCTCGACTCCTCGAAAGAGCTCGTTTCTCTCTCGCTTCCTAATTCCTCGACTGGTGCGTCAACTGAGCCCGGGGGCGCGTCAGTAAACACAAAACTGCACGTCTTTGCGCTGTCAATGCTGCCGGTACCCGAATATCAATCCAATACTCCAAGACTTGAGATTCAATACGCTCGCTCTACGCAAAAGTGGATTGATGGATCCGACAAAGTTCAGATCATTGAAGCCCTTGTCAACAACGTTGGGCCTTTCTCCATTACGCGAAACAACAGTGTGCGCATCCAAGTTCATTCGCCCGGTCTCGAAACCATAACTGAGGGTATTATCAAACGACTCGGCCCTGGAGACCAAGCTACAGTTGAGATTGGAGTTCAAAACAGGAAGGGAGTACCCATAAGCAGTGGTCCAGCGACAGTCATTATCAGTGGGCATGATGTGGTCTCGACGCCATACTCCTTCAATGCAACATATGGAATTCGCCCATTTGAGGCCAATTATGAGTCGATCTACAGTCATGAATCTCCAAACTGGTACAACAATGCCAAATTTGGTATCTTCATACATTTCGGTGTGTACTCTGTGCCAGGCTGGGGAAACTCTGGTTCTAAGGAAAACTATGCCGAATGGTAAGTCAATAATCTCCCCCAACTGTGTTCATCTCTCACAACATAAAGGTATTGGTGGTCCTTGAACACAGCGAATGACCCTACGAATACCTCTGGTTACCATTTGGACAAGTATGGACCGGATGTCGTTTACGATGATTTCATCCACAACTTCACTGTAGATGCATTCTCCCCCAAAGAATGGGTCGATCTATTTTCAGATGCCGGTGCCAAGTATTTTGTGCAAGTTAGCAAGCATCATGAAGGCTATGCTCTTTTTGATCTTCCAGCAAACATCTCAATGAGGACATCTGTAGCCCTCACACCACATCGAAATTTGGTCAAGGTATGGAAAGCGTTCAGTGTCCCATAATATAAAGCTCATCCCTCCAGGAGTTATTTGATGCAGCCAAGAAATATCAGCCACATCTGCACCGGGCCGTATACTACTCGCTCCCTGAATGGTTTCACCCAGACTACAAGAAATACGGATTTGGCAGTTGGCCAGGAGGTAAGACGTCTATGGTCAACCTTATTTTGTTTGTGTTCGTTTTTGACATCCTCAGGAAATGCCACCAATCCTTTCACGAACGAGACCTTGCCATATACTGGCTATGTGCCGCTGGCGGATTTTATCGACGACAAGATACTGCCTGAGATGAACATTTTGGCGGATCTAGGTACAGACATTATGTGGTGTGATATCGGCGGACCCAACAAGACAGCGGAATTCGCATCAGCGTGGTTCAACCGTGCCGCAGAAGAAAACCGACAGGTTGTCATGAATGCTCGATGCGGCCTTCCAGGTGACTTTGATACTCCGGAATATGCTCAATATAAAAGTGTTCAACGCCGGAAATGGGAAAGCAGTGCTGGCATGGATCCATACAGTTATGGATTCAATCGCGCCACCCCTCTGGCCAGCTACATGAACGCATCGGCGATAGTCACCACACTGATTGATATTGTGTCCAAGAATGGTAACTTCCTTCTTGACATCGGTCCTATGGCAAATGGGACCATCCTGGACATCGAACAGCAACACCTCCGGGAGGCTGGGAGGTGGATCAAGAGCCATGCTGAAGCTATATACGATACATCTTATTGGTTTGTTGCCCCCGAGGAAGGAGAAAATATCCGATTCACGACTTCACAAGATGCCTTCTATATCCATTGCTTGACAAGGCCAAATAACACGCTCACCTTGTCAAGCCCGATTCCTTGGTTGGAAGGCGACAGCTTAACTGTTGTCGGCGGCCACATGCACGGTACCGAAATCCCATCAATGAAAACAGCGAACGGTAGTGTCGTCCTGTCTGTGAGCAGTGAAGTTGCAAGGGCAGATCAATTCGCATGGGTTTTCAAGATCACTTACTGAACCCTACACACACAGATGAATGTACGTATCTAAGTGGAAATTAGCTACGGTTGCTACGAATTTGGAACGATGTTGAATAAATGCAGTATTGGTTGTTTATAGGTCTGCTACCTACTGTTTTTGAGACCAATGAATACCTTGTGGCGTTCAATCGGGTTTGAATATGAAGCTATTTAAAAGGGGGCAAGCTTTGGTTGGATTGATATGAGAAACAAAAGTCATATAAGCTGACAGAAGGCGTGGCTGGAACAACCGCACAGAAGGAGCCATCGGCTAGTGACATCGAGTTGAGTAGTGGGTGGAAAGGACAATGAAAGGTGGTGATCAGAGGTTTCTTTGTTTACATCTTTGTTTCTCTTCACCGTCCCATTCCTTGCATCCTGCAACTCAACCCAAAAAGAACAAGCCTTCTCTTCACAAATGCCTGATACTCACTATCATGAGTAATTCTCCTCCCTCTCCTCCCGCTCTGCCATCGCCGATAAAAAAGCCTCGATGGTCACCCATGGCGGACCCTTCTGTGGTCCGTTGGAACGCGCGAGATGGCCGTCGCGAAAAGAGAAAAAAACATGAGAGATGTGAGTCTGAGCATCTCATTGGGCTTGGCCAGTTTATTCCTTTTGCTCTTCTGTTGGCACTCTGAGCTGAAGCTAACAATCTCCCCTCGATACAGAAGCTCCGCAACCTCAGTGTGGATCATGACAAGTTCTCCTCGGAAAATGAAGAGGTATTTATAACCAACTGCAACATCGATTTGACGTCCTGTATACTGGATATGGCTTAATATATGGCGTATTCATTTATTGTGTCCCACGCTAGGATTGCCCCTGCCGATCACTACTATCATTTGGAGATTGCAGAGGCTAATTACTGACAATCATGTTAGGACAAAACTACCAAAGAGGAGCTTGAAGTGACCGAGGAGGATCCTGGGTGCGAGGTACCTCTTAATGCTTCAGAGGGTTTGACCTTCGTGAGTTCTCTATGGCCATCTAGTATCATCCACTAACACCTCCTCGAAGGCGGCAGATGTCGACCCGAGCAGTGTTTCCCAGGTACAGGAAGTTCCGGAAGAGGGTAGGTGACTTCTCCAACCACCCCCCCCCACATACAGACTCGATAGTGATACTTTGGCAGAGACCACTGAGAAGGATGCCTCCTCCAAGGAGAAGAAACCATGAACACCCCATACATTCCGTTGCGCTTTCCATGTGCTTTTGCTTTTATCTAAAAACACGGAAGGCTGTGGATCTCTTGATGCCTTGTGTTTTTTCAGGGCTGTAAAGTGCTATTTGCTGCCACCGTTATGTTTTTGCCGGCCATTTGATGCCTTCACAACGATCAGATTTGATACAAATGGATATTCTCTTTTCCCGTCACTGCATGGTATTTCTGATCTCAAGCCAATTTATTTTCTCTGATCTCTTTCTTGATCACATCACTCATCATCCAGAAGACGCAGGGTTTACATCCGTTTGGGCATATAAGAACCGATGGAATCTTTTAGGGCTCACACCCACATTTGTGCACCTTTTGGGAGACTCAATTTACTTAATTCAACCCTTTTCTCTATATCCATGACCTATGTTACGTATAGGGAGCTAAGAAAAGGAGCTTATAGGCAAAATGTAGATTCTTTTGCAAGACCCAGAAATTCACCATTGTTCAACCTCATAGCAATTAGGAATACTCAACTTTAGAGAAATGGCTAAAGAGAAAGGCAGAATAGAAAAGCCCGATTTATAACCGGAAGTAAGGGGGAACTCGGCAAAATTGATAGCGGGGAAAGGGGAAGCAAACCTGGCCTGATATCTACAGCTTCAGGCTAAATTCACATATAATTTGCCAAGAACATTTTCATTTCCGCTATACTTCCAAGACTCGGATGGCTTGAATGGCTTGGGATGGCTTACGCCGAGACGGTAGGCTAAATGCTTACGTTAAACGGCAAGGAGGTTTCCCGGTACAACTGTGGGATGTTAAACAGATGCAAACAGAACTCATTTCACAACATTTCAGGCTAAACACCTGCACGACTCGCAACGAACTCCGCGAAACCCCGCGTGAACAACCCCAGGCTAAACCTCGGGGGATCGACTGTTGATTGCCCGAATTGGGTTGTGTGGGGGTGAGCTCCGGCTATAGATCTGTTATAGCCGGTGAGATATAACTTGAAGCGGTTGCCGGGCTCTTGGTTCAGAACATCACACAATATGAAGTCGGTGCTTTCCTTGCTAGCCTTTGCGCCCACCGCGCTGGCGCAAGCTCAGACAAGCTATGTCGACTACAGCACTGAGCCTCAGCCCAATTTGACTCCTCAGACAGTGGCTACTATTGATCTCTCTTTCCCCGACTGCTCCAATGGCCCATTGAGCAAAACTCTGGTCTGCGACTCATCTGCCAGGCCTCATGACCGGGCTGTTGCCTTGGTAGCGCTGTTCAATATTGAAGAGGTTTTTAATAGCACTGGGAACAACATACCTGCGATTCCTAGGCTGGGTCTGCCACCGTACCAGGTATGAGTGAAGCTATCCAGAAATTATTAGAAATTTTAATGTTAATTGATTACAGGTATGGTCTGAAGCTCTCCACGGATTAGACAGAGCGAACTTTACCCACTCTGATGAGTACAGCTGGGCGACTTCATTCCCATCTCCCATCCTCAGCATGGCTGCCCTGAACCGAACCTTGATCAATCAGATTGGTGATATCATCTCCACCCAAGGTCGTGCTCTGAACAACGTGGGTCGATATGGGTTGGATGTCTATGCGCCCAATATTAACACCTTCCGTCATCCGGTCTGGGGTCGTGGTCAAGAAACTCCCGGTGAAGACGTATTCCTCGCGTCTGCATACGCCTACGAATACATCACCGGAATTCAGGGAGGCGTGGACCCTGAGCACCTGAAGTTGGTCGCAACCGCAAAGCATTATGCGGGTTATGACATTGAGAACTGGGACAACCACTCTCGTCTCGGAAACGACATGAACATTACGCAGCAAGATCTAGCCGAATACTACACTCCGCAATTCGTCACTGCTGTCCGAGATGCTCGGGTACACAGTGTCATGTCTTCATACAATGCTATCAATGGTGTACCAAGCTCGGCAAACTCTTTCCTGCTTCAGACGCTCCTCCGTGACAGCTGGAACTTTGTCGAGGATGGTTACGTCTCTTCGGACTGCGATGCTGTGTACAACGTCTTCAATCCTCATGAGTACGCTGGGAATGTCTCTAGCGCCGCAGCAGACTCAATCCGTGCTGGTACTGATATCGATTGCGGTACTTCATATCAGTACTACCTCAACGAGTCCTTCGCCCAGGGCGAGATCTCTCGCAGTGAAATTGAGCGTGGCGTTATTCGTCTGTATTCCAACCTGGCCAGCTTGGGATACTTTGATGGTAAGGACAGCAAGTATCGAAACCTCGATTGGTCCGACGTTGTCAAAACCGACGCCTTGAACATCTCGTACGAGGCTGCAGTAGAGAGCATTGTTCTTCTCAAGAATGACGGTACTCTGCCACTGTCCAAGGACACCAGCAGTGTTGCTTTGATTGGGCCATGGGCGAACTTCACTCAAGGGCTTGTCGGCAACTACTTTGATGCTGCAAATGCCCCATACCTGACCACACCGCTCGCCGCACTGCAGCAATCGAGTCTCGACGTCAACTATGCTTTTGGAACCAACATCTCCTCGCACACTACGGATGACTTCGAGGCTGCCATCGCCGCTGCGAAGAAGTCAGATGTCATTGTTTTCGCTGGTGGAATCGACAACACTGTCGAAGCCGAAGGCTTGGACCGCATGAACATCACTTGGCCTGGTAACCAGCTTGATCTCATCAAACAGCTGAGCCAGCTAGGCAAGCCCTTGATTGTTCTGCAGATGGGCGGTGGCCAAGTTGACTCGTCATCTCTAGAGGCCAACAAAAATGTGAACGCCCTTGTGTGGGGCGGTTATCCTGGACAGTCCGGTGGTCTTGCGTTGCTGGATATCATCACCGGCAAGCGCGCACCCGCTGGCCGTCTGACAGTAACCCAGTATCCCGCCAAGTATGCCACGCAGTTCCCGGCTACCGATATGAACCTGCGCCCCAGCGGTGACAACCCAGGCCAGACCTACAAGTGGTACACAGGAAAGCCCGTGTATGAGTTCGGACATGGACTGTTCTACACTAAATTCAAGGTGTCTCTCGCACGCTCCCGAGCGACCAGTAACGGAACCTCCTTCGACATAGTCAAGCTTCTGTCACGATCCCACGCTGGCTATAATGTGGCTGAGCAACTCCCTTTCATGAACTATACCGTCGACGTTACCAACGCGGGTGGTCTCCTTTCAGATTACACTGCCATGGCATTTGTGAACACAACTGCCGGGCCAAGCCCTTACCCCAACAAGTGGCTTGTCGGGTTTGATCGTCTCGGCTCTATCAAACCTCATGGCTCTCAGACCATGTCGATCCCAATCTCGCTGGACAATGTCGCTAGAACTGACGAATTCGGCAACCGCATTGTTTATCCCGGGAGATATGAGCTTGCGCTGAACAATGAGCGCTCTGCTGTGATGTCCTTTACTTTGACTGGTAACGCAACGACTATTGCTGCCTGGCCCAAGGAAGAGCAGCAGATTTCTCCAGCATAGATCTGGCTATCATAATTATTAAAAGGCAATGTTAAAAGAACTCCCTCTCTACCTGTCTAAGCCTAATTACGGAAGGCGTAGTATGTGTATTTCACGGTGTCTTTTTTTAGTACAGTGACACAGCAAATGTTTTAACACTATTCGACAGACCGTTTTTTAGACCGTTTTTTAGACCCCCTATCGTAAACCGAAGAGCAAGTCTATATCATCTTATTTTCTAAACGTTTTTGCTTTAGTGAGTGCTTTTTATAGAAGATAAGATTTAACCGTCACGGTGTGGCATCTAGGGTGCGCACGCGTACAATTATACGTACTAAGTAGTACATATATCGGTCCTAGGCATGTTAGCCTGACGGCTGACAGTGGTCTTTTTGGCCTAGTTAGTATACATGTATTGACCTAGGTGTAAGTCTTCACACACCCTACGAGGCCTAGTGTCTTCCTCTACGCCTTTTTGTTCATTTTTACTAAGGAAATAACTTACACTATGAAATACACATACTAAGCCTTCCGTAATTAGACTTAGACAGGTGGAGAGGGGGTCCTTTTAACATTACCCTTATTAAATTAGAAATAAGCTCGTCCTCAACGCAGATTTATAAAGCTATTTACTATACTATCGTGCTGATTCTACATATACAATTTACTATCTTGCTGCTCATTTATGCTGTGTTACTGCCAAAAGACTGGTGTTTGAACATTTAATATCCATAACAGTACCTCTACTATGAGTAAAGTTCCAGGGAATGGGATAGAGTCTTTTTGTGTATATATTATGTAGTATATAAATGTGGACGGGGATAGCTATGTACAAAGGGTTCACCGCCCTCAAGAGAGGCTCAAGCGTTAGTGGAAAGGGTTTTCGAAGCAAGCGGAGCGGAAGTGGTTGCAATAATGGTCGACAAAATAGTATCAATGCTGACCCTCTGGTCTCATCGAAGACCCCGAGAGGTATTGGAGTCGCGGGATTTGGGCGCAGGTGGCTTCCTGGGCCAGCTTCGGGCGATATCAATATTGGCACGGGGGAACCACATCTCAAGGAAAACGTAGATCAGGAAGTCGATCACAACGCAAAGGCAAAACAGCTTTCCAGCCCAGACACCACAGCCGTAATATCGCTTCAACCGATCAATGAGTGCGAAACTGCGAACGCGATCACCGCTCGCTTCCCAGCCCTGGCCGGGATAGTATCCATAAAACTCCTCTGGGCTGATGTCACCAATGATTCCTTCATAAACGCGCTCCGTGCGCTCGGCCACATCCCGCCAGGAATACATCATTTTCACTTGGTCGTGGAATCGGTCGGTTCGCACTCGATTCGAGCGTAAAGCCGAAATCGCTTTGCTTGTTGCAAGAACGATATCGTCTTCTTCCGGCTTGGCAAACGTTGTCATGTGCTGGGGTAATACTTCCGGGATACCGCCGACCCGGGTACACACCACGTAAAGACCGCAACTGGCAGCTTCGACAATGACTGTCCCGAATGCTTCCGTCAAACTCGGATGGAGGTAAATGTCACCTCGCACCATTACATCTCGAACCTCCTCGTGTCGTACTGAGCCTAGCAGCTCAACTTTGTCTTGCAGCACGTTGCGTTCCAGCATCTGCTCCAAGTCGATTGCTTTGGGCCCTGATCCTGCAATGATAAAGCGGGTGTTGGGATTCGAAGCAAGAATGCGCGGAATAGAGGCGATAAGTAAATCTGTGCCCTTATTGTAAAAGAGGCGAGAGATGACTACAATGGTAATTGGGTCGTCGGGGCCAATTGGCCGCGGGGATAGTGGAGGATCCGGTGGTGAGCTCAGGGTCTGATCTGGCGGACGGGTGGTGTGTGATAAAGGACAGAAGTTCTCTGCTACAACGGCATTTGGGATAACTGATACCATCAACGGGTCCAGTGAAGCTCGAAGAACTGTGTTCTCCTTGCTGCGACTTTGTCAGTAGGATATCACAGCAAATCCAGGGAATGACCCACCAGGTATGGCTAACGCAGATTGCATGATCAACATCACTCAATGTGAACTTGAGCAGTTTATTGGTAAGAATAGAAGCTGCGTCGGCAAATCCGAACAGGGAATGATCTGTGAAGACGGTCCGCAGACCCATGGTGCGCGCATGAAGGATAGCTTCTCCGCAGAAGCTACTCAAACTGGCGTGTCCATGTACAATATCGATCTCCTCTCGAATGACAATATTTCGGAATATGGGGAAGAATGAGAAAACGGTAGGGAATGTTGTTTCGCGGTAGATAACGAAGAAGGGAACGTGGTAGATCTTCAGTCCATTGGTGAGGTAACGGACTCCGGTGCGTCCTTTGTATGCATGTGTAATGACAATGACTTTGTGTCCTCGGTCGATAAGTTTCTAAAAAGCGATTAGAATGACGAGAGATGAGAATGCGACGAGGCCGAGCGCTTACGGACGACAGTTGGTAGATGTGACTTTCAATTCCACCTATCCAAATTAGTTATTGCACTAAAAGCATCGGACCACCTGAAACACATACCTGACTGTGGGAAGAAGAAGTCACTGACCATACTACAGCCACCAGAAGCAACGTTAGCAAGTCATTGCGATTCAATGGAGCGGTACTGACGCAATGTTATACGGCATCGTGATTGTGGTTCTCGGATTCAGAACCCCGAGACGTCAATTTTCCTCTTTGTAGCAGCTTCCTTTCCATGGCTAACAGTTCTCACTGCTGCTCAAAGTCGCATTCATTGCCTGTTGTCGCCAAAGGAGAAGCTGTTATTGACTCCCGGCGATAAGAACAGCGGTAAGCGGGGCGGTGGTGCTATTTTGCTTTCTGCCGGCATAAAAGATTCAGAGAAAAGGAATTTGTTCCCCACGCATTCAGCAACTGCAACAGTCGCAGATTTTCGGAATAATGGCCGGCCACAAGACGAGGGATTCCTCGAAAGGCGATGTGGACCCAAATTCCGCCAAATCTCACAAGCGAAAGAGAGATCAGAATGTCCCCCAGGTCGCCACCACTCCCACGCCGGCGAAAAAGCATAAGAAGCGCGAAAGCTTGTCAACCGCACAGTCAACCGAGCACGATGATGGCAGCACCAAAAAGCGCAAGCGACTCAAGGATGCTCTCCAGGGAGAGGATACCCCGCAAACGTCCAAGAAAGAAAGTGCTGTCTCGGCAAACCGCAGCAAAGAGAGTACTACAGACTCGCGTCACGACGTCAGTGAGACGGGAAAGAAGTCGAAGAGCGGCAAGCGAAAGAGCACTAACAAGAGCGACAAATTGGATGATGAGGTTGCACCTGTAAATGCAGATAGCGACGATGAGGAGGTGGAAGCCGAACCCAAAACATCCAAGAACAAGCACTCGGGTATTCTGTCAAAATTTGAGCGCACCAAAACTGTCGCCAGCTCCAAATCCAAGAAGCCCGAGCCTGAAACTGTCGAAGATGAGACGCCTGCTGTGGAACCCGTCTTTGCACAGGGCCTCGAGCCATTGCCGCAGCCTGAAAATCCCCCAGAGCTAGAGCAACTCCCAACTTATTCCTCTCTACCTCCCTGGTTGGCAAACCCTTTACGGAAGTCGGCCGATGTCAGATCCGAGTTCTCCGAATTGGGGATCAAACCAGACCTTCTCAAAATTCTCCAACAACATGACTACAAAGAAGCATTCGCCGTACAGTCCACTGTTATTCCTCTGCTTCTTCAAGGCGAGCAGAACCACCCTGGCGATCTCTGTATTTCTGCAGCCACTGGATCTGGAAAAACACTTTCCTACGTCCTTCCATTGGTCACTGCTCTAACGCCACGACCTGCCTCGAGACTAAGGGGTCTGATTGTGGTTCCCACCCGAGAACTGGTGAAGCAAGCCCGTGAAGCCTGTGAACTTTGTGCTACGGGATCACGACTTCATATTGGAAGCGCAGTGGGCAATGTGGCCATTAAAGATGAACAGAAGCAATTGATGCGAGTGGACCAGGTTTACAATCCAGCCATTCAACAGCAACAACGGGATGGGCTGGTAGGGAATGACTGGATGAACCTGAGCCTTGAAAATTGTGTCAGCGAAGCAGTCGACTCCAATGGTTCTCTTCCTGGTTACATCCAACGATCAGAGCCCAACATTGACATTCTTATTTGTACCCCTGGCCGTCTGGTTGACCACATTCGTTACACTAAAGGCTTCACATTGCAGCATCTCGAATGGCTCGTGATTGACGAGGCTGATCGTCTCTTGAACGAAAGTTTCCAGGAGTGGGTTGATGTCATTATGCACTCGTTAGACAGCCGACAGGCGCCAGAGACCTTCGGCCCTGGCGGCAAACTTCTATCGGAGCTTGGACTTTCTATTGAAGCCAAGCCACCTAGAAAGGTGATTCTGAGTGCAACGATGACTCGCGATATCTCGAAGCTCAACTCCTTGCGCCTTGCCAACCCTAAGATGATTATCATCGGGTCCGAAGATGCTTCAAACGAGGGAGACCTACCTGCCACTCATGCCGATGCTCACTTCGCCTTGCCACCAACCTTGTCCGAACACATTGTTCAAGTCGGCGACGGATCTCTCAAACCGCTTTACCTGCTGCGTCTCCTTCTATCTCACATTGATCTTAGCGGAGATCTTGCTCCCAACGTTTCTGATTCATCCGACTCTGACAGCACCAGCTCCGATGACACCAGCGATGACGATACTAGCTCCGATGAATCGTCCGATGATGAGACTTCATCTTCTGGATCTGATTCGGAATCCGAGTCTCACTCTGACTCTGAGTCTGATTCGTCGTCTGATTCCGATTCTTCAGACGAGTCTTCGGACGCTGACTCGGAATCTGATGCCATGGACCTGGTGCCTGAGCCGACGCGCAAGACTGTCTTGATCTTCACCAAATCATCAGAATCTGCCTCACGTCTCTCACGCCTCATCTCGCTGTTGCACCCACCACTGGCTAAGCGTGTAGGAACAATCATCAAATCTAACAAGTCTTCTGCATCTCGCAAGACCCTGACGGCTTACCGCCAAGGCCGTATCTCGATCATCGTGGCCACCGACCGTGCTTCTCGCGGTCTTGATCTCCACTCTCTAACTCATGTTGTCAACTACGACATCCCAACAAGTGTTACTACCTATGTCCATCGAGTGGGACGTACCGCACGTGCTGGCCGGGCAGGTTCGGCGTGGTCTCTGGTTGCTCATCGCGAAGGTCACTGGTTTGCCAACGAAATTGCGGCTAGTGTGGATGGCCGGATTACACGTACCTCAAACATCGACCGTGTCCAGATCAAGCCGGACTCACTCGGCTCGCTGAAGCCCAAGTACGCGAAGGCCTTGGACAAGCTCGAGAAGGAGGTTAAGCGCGGCTAGTCAAATGCAGCGGAACACGTTTGAGATCTGGATTGTATTTTACGATTTGTTAGTGATCGGCATTTCAAGCGATCTATCTTTGTACTATAATATCGAGTAACAAATGCTCTGCAAGCTCACTGAATCACGCATAACGCTTTCTTCTTTACTTTTTTATTTTTACTTTGCTATTTTACTGCTTCCAACCTCCGTTTTCCACTCATCAGTTCTTACAATCTTCACTTCATCTTATTGCCTTTCACCTCTTCGAAAATCAGTGCTTCCAATCATCACTTCTACGACAATCACATCTTCCACCTCTTCCAGTCCTATCTTCCTTCGCTTTACGACCCCATCCACTCCTGCACTACAACACCAATACCAACCTCTATCTCTGTCTCACAGCCGCGCGGATCATGGATTCAGCCACAGACGACGACGAAGCCGGCAGTGGCTCCACCAGGCAGTCAAACAAACCTGAGTAGGAAACTTTGCTTGGCGATACAGATGACATAGGCATTCACAGCGACGGCGAAACACACGCAGCAGTGGTGAAACATATTTCGGCCCCCGTGAGAAAATCCTCTTCAACGAGGTAATCGATTCCCAGAAGCCAAGCGGCGCTACTACAAGCAGTATCCTACCCGCGGAACAAGAAGTGAACAAACTCAGTAGTGAATGGATTCGTATCTGTGGCAAGATACTCGCAGAGGATTCCAATGCCGCAAAGAGCCAATTGGTGCAACATACAGTTAGGCTGGAGAGATTGAGAGTTTACTGGAGTCAAACCCAGTTGCAACCGAGGTGGTAACCGCTGCTACCAATGGCCTAATTGATGTCGAAGCGGCAACCATTGCTCTACTTACACTGCTACTACCGAGATTCCCCGCGACGTTGCCTCGGCACTATTGGACCACTATTGGACCTGAACGCCAGCGACGATGCAAAGGCCAACGAGGCAGCCGCACCAGCTAGGTCCACAATGTCTGCACAGCAGTTGCTAGCAGCAGCAGAGTGCCTGGCTAAGGATAGCTCGGTCGACCACCGAGTTCTTGCGCTACAGTTTACAAGGGAGCCACAGATGGACAACACGGCTAAGGAAGAGGTTGTTGCTCGTTTATGCTTCCAGCAATGGAAGAACCGTGGCTAAGGATGTTATACGGGCAAATGAACTCTGTTGAGAACTGCCCTTCGACGAGTGTCTGAGAACATACGAAAGATCAAGTAGTTAATGAAATGTTTCTCATGCTTACTGAATACTACAGTAGGAATAAACAATAATAGTACAGAATCGCATGGCGTTATAACATCAATGGGAAAACCAGCTTCCACATCATCAAGACGTAGCTTACTGCCTTCTCTGCTGTCCCTTGTCTCGCTTAGTGCTGGGCTCATACTTCCACTCTCGGCCCACAGTCTCAGCAGACTCAGGTACCATCTCTTCAGCAGCACGAGAAGCCTTGTCACCCCAGGTGCCACTCACAGCAGCCTCTTCCCGTTCAAGACCGCGCTGGTCGGGGAACCGGCGCTCAATACCTCGATCCTGAGCAGAGGCACCCACACCCTCCAAACCGGCGGTTTGCTTCTTGCGACCATGCTGGCCATCGTGATTGATCTCGATGTTGGTTTCACCTTGTAGGGGCTTGCCGAGGCCTTGGTTGACATCTGCTGAGGTCGAGCCCATTAAGGTGTCTGCTGCAGATGTATATGTGGGCTCCTTGTCGGATCCACCGTACACATTGGGGTTGTTTGCCTGTCCGCCGACTTCCGAGACGGGGTTCGCTGTGTAGGAGCTGCTTGCGGGCGCGGTACCTCGAGGGTGAGCTTCCGCATGGAATTCGGGACGCTGGTCGGCTTCGTTGACCTTGCGACCGAGTTGGTGCTATATATGATGTCAGTTCTATGTCTTTTGTGAGGATCGTTGAGGTGAACATACACCCTTGGTGGTAATAGGGCCTTCTGGTGGCACAGAGGGCTTGAAGCCCTGCTTGGGGTTGTTGGAGGAATCGACGTTCTGAAGAGTGCTCATTGTGCAATTAAAGGTTGGAAGATGCTTTTGATGATTGAGAAGATTGACTGAACTGTTATACCTAAGCGTGTACAGTCACCATTATATACATGTCTGGTATACTTCATCCTGGAAACCAGGAGTGACGTCAAGGCACTGATCTCATCAGTATACTACGTAGCCCTGTACAGTGGCAATACTCGATACATGTATTATTAACCTGCAAAGTAATCTCAAAGTCATATATAAGTTACAGACCTGTTTCATTCGCTGTCAAGTCAATGTAGGGTTATCAATACGTGACATCAAAAAGTGGAACTTCGCAAAGGCGATGGCGACTCGGGCTTCAGATTGGCTGGATCTCGCCCCGATGACTTCTTGATCTTGTTCTCATAGTATCAGATTCTTGTTGCTTCGGATTACTTTATTTAGTGAATTCCATCGACTGGGAAATGGCTATATTTCATGTCTGGCGGGCAACTCCTTTCGCTGCGAAGTACTGAAACTCAGAAATCACCCCTGAACATATAACGACGTGTATCGTTGTTGTTTCACCAAGACTAGGCCTACAGGTCTATTCGGAATGTTAGCACGATATGACAGATCTCTGGATATTGAAGAAATCTCATTGGTATATTAACAGAAAATGTAATCATTAACAAACGCCATAATGCATCTTATATGCTCCGCTGGACATAAATGCGCGGGAGTAGGAGCCCAATCTCCTAGTCAAGAATCAACGCATCACCGGAGGCCGACCCTCCTTGTTCCATTTGACACGACTTTGCACCCACTCAACAGCAGCCTGGACGCCCGATCCGAGTAACGCGCTGACCGGCAGTACGCGACTATCACGGACGCCGCCTCCTGTCTCTCCCTCAAACACCTTGCGGACCAGGCCTTCCTTGATGCGAACCACTTCGACACAGTCTTCGCGATCTTGTTTGTTTGCTAGCACTAGGATGGGAACGCCCGCGACGTCTGCATTTTGTAGGACCGATTCGAGTACCTGCCGGCATTCATCCAGGCGTCCGAACTCGCTGCTGGCCGCGTTGATTCCGACATTCTGTTCTGAAAAGGCTTCTGCACTTGTGCTTCCCCGTGTATTATTGCGCGCTGGCCCGGCCACCGAGCTTGCGCGCCGAGATGATGATAGCAGTCGTGTAATATCGGGGTCCTGTCCAACGTCGGCACTGTCGACCACGAAGATGATCGCGTGGCAACTACTGTAATAGCTCTGCCATAGACCGCGCATCGAGATCTGACCACCGACATCCCAAATCTTCAAGTTCATGTCCGGTAAAGGTATTGTTGAGACATTTTGGCCGACGGTGGGGACGGTCTTTCCGGGGTTAGGCGCGGGGGCGCCATCGGAACGGGGTTGATAGAGCGCTTTGATCTGGGACAGAAGAGTTGTTTTGCCGGCGTTGTCTAGGCCAAGTAGCAAGACGGAGTATTCTATTCAAGTCGAGAGATCAGTCGCGAGTCTTGGGATGGTAGTTGCAGGTCCTACCCTCTTTGCTTGTGGCGTATAAGTACAGCGACTTGGCCAGATGGTACATGGTCGCGGTCCCCAGAGCTCAAGACCAGCAATTCACACAAAATCGAAGAACACCGCAGATCATGACAATCGCAACTCGAAGCTGCGAGGCTCACCCGCGGTCCAGCCTCATCCGCATTAGGAAAGTAGGGCTTAGGGCTGAATCCGGGAAACTGGGGCGATATCAACGACGCATCAACTTTGACAAGTCAAGCATTGGAGGTCTCTCAGAGCTCAAACGAGTTCATCAAAGCCATTGAGCTATCGACCTACTCCTGATATTGCATTCACGGCCCGGAGACCACCTCTTCGAGTCTCATCGCAATAGGCGCCTGTTTCCGGCGAATGAAGAATGAGGAGACATCTCCCCCACATCGTGTTTTGTCAGCCTGATTATTGATCGCCGGTGGAGATTGGGGACTTCCTACTACTTCCTATCTCCTCCTACTTCACTTTCTTCTTTCTAATGGCAGGTTCTTCATGGCCTTGCCGTTCGTACAATCTCCGGCGTGACAACCTTGTGCTTTGAAGCCTCGGAACCACTTCTCTGTCGCATGTCTGACCCAATATGCCCCGCGCCGGATCGATTGTCTGATGCAAAGGCGCCAATGGAGACTGACACTGTCATTGTCGGTATGTTGAACCTCTTTTTCTTCGGCTTGTCTCTTCGTCCCCTCTACCCTGCGGTATCGGAGGACTGCTCTCCGAGCTCGTATTGACAGCTTCCAGGCAATGGGCCGTCGGCCATGATCCTTTCCTATATCCTTCATGGTCATATTCCTTTCTACTCGTCTGACCCTCCACATCCCGATCACCTCTTAGACGCCAAATTGAAAGCCGCGCCGGACCTTTTGGATGCCGACGTCAATTCCCTTACTGCACATTTTGACGCCTCGCGCCTATCATATTCAACACAGGCGCTCCCCATCAATGTGTTATTAGACACGCTTGTACGGCCAAGCGTAGATGTGGATGAACCAGGCTGTATCTCCAATGTCGAGTGGCGCTCTCAACCTGAAAAGGCCGTGCCGCACCTGGTTTTTGGGAAACCGCCAAGCCCGGGTGGTCAGTGGACAGAAGACCCTTTGGGTGCCAGTTGGGACATCCAAACCTTGAGTTATGCGGCAATGCTGTCTTTGCCCGGCTACTCATTTTCCGATCATCATAGGAAGACAACAGGTCAGGAGCTGCCTGCATATACGAGGCCCACTAGACGCGAGATTGCGGAGTACTTTGCAACATATCCGCAGGCTGCCCTGATCGATGATTCTTTTCGATGTGGAGAAGAGCTGAAAGATATCTCCCGCACCGCCGATGGATTCTACATTCGATCTCATAATATTAAGTGCAAACGACTTGTCCTGGCAAGTGGCATATTCTCGGAAATCCTTCCACCAGAGCCGCTGCTACGACCCATCTTACAAACCAAATCTACACCTTCCATCCCGCTTCTCGTCGTTGGATCGGGCTTCTCCGCCGCGGACTCGATTATCTCCGCTTTCCCAGACCAAAAAATCTTGCACGTATTCAAGTGGTCTCCTCATGATCGCCCATCTCCTCTTCGGGGCTGCCACCAGCAAGCCTACCCCGAGTACGCTGGTGTCTACCGTCTTATGAAAAAAGCCGCACTTGCAGCCGAAAACGCAGGCAAAGGCCAGCGACCCAAATACCGGCGCGCCACCTCGACCCCATTCCTCGAAAGTCGCAAATGGGAAGAATTATACGAAGGTGTCCCCAACGTTGAAATCACGAACGTGGACATTCACGATGACCTGGCTACGGTCACATTCCGCCGCCGGGACGGATCTGTATTTTCTCGATCTGTGCGCGGCCTTGTCTATGCTGCCGGTCGTCGAGGTACGCTGGATTATCTTGATCCCAAGCTCCACTGTGAAGTGCTGGGGCAAAGCGATCAAGATCCAGTAGTGACCGGTCAGACACTCCGCGCAAAAGCCATTGAGGATCTCGAGGTTACTCCCGGTGTTTATATCATCGGGAGTCTAACCGGAGATTCTCTGGTACGCTTCTCTTACGGCGGCTGTGTCTACGCCGCTGGGCATCTTATGGAAGGTGAGCGGGACACACGCAGCGTCTGTAGCAGTGTCGTCTCGACTACCAAACTGCACGGCTCCTCACTTTCTGTTATGAACGGCATGGACGGCCATCTTGTCTATCCGACCGGCGATGCCTCGGAACTGACCCGCGAAGACACATTCAGTAAGATGTCCACGGTCACCGATCAGCCTGCTGTACGTGGCTGGTGGAAAACACTGACACGTATGTGGAATGACATCTTACGATAAGTCATTTGGCAACGTTGTTTTATGTTTATATGTAAATCTATGACTACAAATACATTCATCTAGAGCTTTGTCCGAAAAGCTGCTATTAAGCAGCTACACAGGTACACCTAACATCATGTAAGTCTCGTTTTAAGCCTCATTTTCGGACACCGACGGACATCAGGCACCCTATAGTGGTGAAGTAGTCACCGATCAGATCGTGAACAATACATGCAGTCTGCCCACTGCCCACTGCCGTCGAACAAACGGAAACGACGGTGTCGAACTTGATGATCTGTCCTTGCATTCGGGAGTTGCGTCTTGAAGTGAAGGCGACAATACCTATTGAGCATGGCTTGCCACAATGCATCAACATAGATGTGAAGTCGAAACATACAAGTGACATCTTTGTACTACATTAGATTGACACCTCAATCCCACTGTTTGAAGGGACCAAGTCCAGTTACAAGTCTGCATATACGTACTTTATGCATACTTTAGGCCCACCAAGTCCCAACGCTAACACCTCACACTATTATCCCCGCGGAAATACCCACTATCTTTGCTGAAGATTCTGCTGATCCGGTCGAATATAATATGTAATAATACTTTCAAATCCCGAAAGATGTTTGTGATTTGCCAATCCGCCCAGGAAGCATTTTCCCCTCAGCCATTCGGTGGCATAAGTGAGTCATGATCAGATTCTTATAGTTCCAGATGTACATGCTTACCAATTCTACAAAATTCCCTGACAAATCCATACTTCTACCAATTTGTACTGACATAGCCTTCCTCTGAGCTGCCGCCGCTTTTAGGATCTCAGAGTTGGTGTATATGAGTTTGGAGCAGGGCTTATCCCCGAGCCCCAGGGTAATACTTTCTGTCGGGCCCCGAAACCATAAGCGATACCGGTATCAACTCTCTTCCCAAGTAGGCTCACGGAACACCATTCTGATAAATATGAGATAGATATCAACGATAGACATGCCTCAGGGGATAAAGTGATGGACAAACTCGATGATGATAATGAATCATGTATTGCTGTAGCATATCGGACGCTCTCATTGTCCGAATTCATTCGATCTGACTGTCGAAAGGAGGCAATCAACCAAATTATACTGCTTCGCAAGATATATCCATCTGCAGAAAAATATCCAAGGGATATTGCATTTCGCACGACTCGATCCGCTACTGAAACAGTGTGCCGGTTATTGAATTGCACCGGCTCCTACATGCGAGATTCTTCCATGCTTCTAGTTATTAGTGGAGTGCTTATAAGAATCTTGATCTTCTATGAGGCGGCCCTTTGCAAGTCACAAATTGGAAGAGTACCTGCAGATACGCGGGATGGCGAATGCTCATCTTTGCAGCATTCGGACAGCAACCATGGCATCTCTACAGTGCTATAGCTATCTAAGAGTAGAGGGTCCATATAAGTCGTTCTGGTGAATATTCCGCTAGTCATTCGAAATCTCAATCTCCCTCGCGCCACCGAGACGAAGATGAAGACCCAGCTGCTTCGTTGCGAGTTGCAGACATTATTTCGGGTATGCCAGGCCTTCGAGCGAGTACAGAATGCCGAAATGGCTGAATACGATCCTAAGCAAATACTATATAAAGTAGGCAATCTGCCGCGGATATTGAGTGTGCTGTGTACGGAATGACTACATTGTGACGAAGGGTTACTCGGCAAAAAGCGGCAAGAGATGTAGACCTAAAAGGGAAACGGATTTGTAAGAAATGCAAGTATAAATACCGATGACTTGGAGACTCGTGTCCTCTGTAGAATTTCTCAGCTTTTCCAAAGATCCAGCATTGACCATGTGTGTTACCGAAGCAAACTACGGCTTTACAGCTGTGCCATCATCGGCCACTGCCCTTCTCGCAACTGACCCTCCGAAGATACCAGCACCCTTCACCCCAGTATCCCAAAGCCCAATTCCATCTACGCCCCTCGCCCAGCGCATCGACGTGTATGCAAAGGCGCATCTCCCAGAACCAACATACAACCACTGCCTGCGGGTATATCACTATGGGCTCGCTATAAGGCAATATCGATTCCCGGAGTGGACTTTCTCGGATGAAACATACTTCCTGGCTTGCTTGCTTCACGATATCGGAACCACGAAGGAAAATATGATAGCTACTAAGATGAGCTTCGAGTTCTATGGCGGCTTTATTGCTTTGGACGTTTTGCAAAACTTGGGAGCTTCTGCCACAGCTAGTTCAGCAGCTGCCGCCCCGAGAGATCAAGCAGAGAGTGTGGCGGAGGCCATCATACGGCATCAGGACTTTCACGAGAAAGGCAATATCACGGCTTTGGGTCAGTTGCTTCAGTTGGCAACAATGTTTGGTATGTCCAGGCATAATGATTCCTCATTTAAAATAATGCCGTCTCGAGAGATTAACAATAAACTTACTTGTTTCCTTGCAGATAATATCGGGGCCTGGGCAGATCTGGTTCATCCGTCAACCATTGAGGATGTCTGCAAGCACTTTCCTCGTCTTAAGTGGAGCCATTGCTTCGCTAGTACTATTCGCGAGGAAAACAGTCTGAAGCCTTGGGCCCATACCACAGTGCTGGGAGAAGAGTCTCCAGCTAGGGTGATGGGTAACAAACTCATGGCGCCGTATGAATGAGTGATCCTGAAAGCCGAGATGAAAATTTTGCAGTTGCTCTAGACACGAAGAGAGAGGAATCAAGTGCCAATTATCAAAAGCAATGGGGAGAATAAGTTACGACAGGGGTCATAAATGTGTATATATTGCCAACGAAGTATTGCCATTCTCTACACAAAAGCTTCGAAGCGAGTTTACCTTTTTATGCATTGTTTTCCCCTTTTTTTCGCCTCTTTTTTGCCCATTTTCGAGTGCCTCGGGCTAATCATCTACATTGTATAAAAGTGTGGATGTGAAAGACCTTATGGCCTATGACTGTAGCAATGATCTCTCACGAGCAGAAAATGCGCATCTCCCGTAACGCGCGGACCTGACCAACATCATTTCTACGAAACCAACATGCTCGCCATCCTCAGCACATTTTGTCTCCTAATACCACTATATTGCATATATAAACCACCGAATATCCTCATCCGCTACTGTCAACGTCGGTGGCCCGACGTGCTCTTCCACGTCCCAACAGACAAAAAAGTGGTCGCGCTCACCATTGACGACGCGCCCTCCACACACACAACTGAAATACTTCGTCTATTGCAGTTGCACAACGCAGCAGCGACCTTTTTCCTGATTGGATCCCAGATTCCGGAATATGAACATAACCTGGTTGATCTGGTCCGGGCTGGCAATAAACTGGCCAACCATGCTATGTATGATGAGCCGTCGCGTGCACTGAGTGACGACATGTTAAGGGAGCAAATCCGTACAGTGCATGCCCGGATTCAAGAGGCATATGTTGCAGCAGGGAGCCAGACAGAGCCAGAGAACTGGCTCTTTCGTCCTGGCTCGGGGTTCTTCAGCTCTCGGATGAGAATAGTTGTGAAGGAACTAGGCTATCGCTTAGTCCTTGGGGATGTGTATCCGCATGACCCGCAGGTTCCATATTGGAAGTTGAATGCCAGTCATATTCTGAGCATGGTTAAGCCGGGGAGTATTATCATCTGCCATGATGGGCGCAGGTGGACGGTGCCGATGCTACAGAAGGTTTTGCCTGAGCTGAGCCGCAGGGGGTATACTATTGTCACAGTCTCTGACTTGTTGACCAATTCATAGATTGCGGGCTATAAAATGTACATGTTTTCGTCTTTGAACGCTATGGGTATATTCACACAAGACACCGTTTTGACCTTAGCCCATAATCTGCAACAGATCCTCAGGGGGCCAGCGTACTTGCGCAAAGCTCAGACAGCGCTTAATACTTTGTAAGTATTTGCGAGTGATCTCATCACTCAGGATGTGTGCTTGTTGATCGCTCTGGTGCAGCTTCTCTCGAGCAGATCGCTCGTGAATACCAACCATAGTCACACCGATGGGCCACGCTCTGTAGTCAAGTTAGCTTAAATTCCGATATTGAAAACATGTAATAGACGTACGCTTTTCCAATACTGACTCGCAAGTACGCATCGTTTGCATCGACGTATCGCCGCTGCTGCGCCTTGTGCACGATCTCGACAATCGGTTCCAGCAATCCATCTTCCAGGTCTGATTTCTCAAAGAGGCGGAACAGCGGCGTCATGTTCTCACGGGATTGGATCATAGCATTGTATGCTTGCTTTCCCTGGAAACTCTGCCGCACGGTGACATCCCGCTTTGCCAGAGCCAATTCCCATTCTGACAAAACCATGTTGAAGTATGAGCCCAACTGCCGGAAAAGGAAGAGTCGGTTCTCTTGGTCCTTGGGAATCTTTGCCGGAATGATCATCTGTGCACCAGAGACAGGCTCCAACGTTGTAGGGATAGGCCCATCCGTGATCTTCTGCTTGGGGATGTCTGCCCGTTGGACCAGGCGGCGGTATCGTCGAAGTCGAGCTTTATAGTCCTCCCCGAACAATCGTGCAGGTGCGTCCATTGCCCGTAGTTTTTCAATAAGCTCGTCCTCCTCGATATCTTCCTCCTCAGGGACATCCTCTGGCTTGTCCTCAGGCAAGTCGGGTAGACCGAGTCTCCGCCGCCGTTCACGCTCTTTGGCCAGCTCTTCCTCCTCTCTTCTCGCCTTTGACTCCTCTGCTAGGCGTCGCTTTTTGTCCTCTCGTTCGCGTTTTCGGTCCGCTTCTTCCTCCTCAAGCTTGCGCTTATTCGCTATGCGCTCTTCTCGCTCGCGCGCTAACCGCTCCTGCTCTTGCTTGTAGGCCTCAACACGCGCGGCTTCGACATCTCCTCGGCGCATGTATTTCTTCGTTGGTTGTGTCGAGCTTTTGTCGGTCTCTTTGCCGGAGGATTTCTCGGGGCTCTTGGCCTTAGAGATCTCCTTCGACATGAGCGCGGCGAAATCCATGGTGGCGGGGCTGTCGCACAGCGAGTTTCGTAATAAGCTATAACTGTACGAGGGTAGTGAGGTATGTAAAAGAATAAATGGTTATCGTCGAAGTGTAGTTGCGATGGTGTGGAGTGGAGGAAAAGAATGTTGAGCGTCAGAACTCGCAGCTCCGACGCATTTCGGCTTCCTCCATCTTCCTCCATTCAAACCCCCTCAATACCCTAACTTTCCTCTCCAACCTTCGTTTGAGCTTCAATTCATTCAAATCTCACAGATTTTCCTCACTTGACTCTCTCTCTCTCTTTTCTTAACTTACACCTTTCACCCTGCCAGCATGCCCGGTCCATCGCGCGAGGGCCTCAAACCCTCGATCGATCGCGAAACCACCACGCCCTTTCATCTCAAGCTCTTCTACCGCGTCAACACATTTCACTCCCTCGCCGACTTCAGCATTCCCTCACCACATCGCCGAGGAGGCCCAGGCAGCGGTCCCAATGCCATTCGCGGAACATCACCTCCAGCTGCAGCACCTCTCCCACCCCATCTAGAAATCTACACCTGGCAATCATGCACACTACGCGAGCTTTCACTGTGCCTCACCTCAGCTCTGCCCTCCCTCCTTCCTGATCCACCTGTCGGAACTAGACTCTGTTTCCGACTTATTTACCCCGACGCGCGCGGCGCAGCAATTATGGGTCCGGATGCGCGTGGACGATACTTGAGCAGGGATCTGGGGAGCGTGATTGTCGCGCCGAGGGATAGTCCTTTCCGCGCCGAGGGCGACGAGGAAGAAAAACAAGAGACTCGGCCCCGCGCAGGCCCGCTTCGGTTCCAGGGCTCAGAGGCCGACAAGCCTCTACAGGATGCTCGGTTTATTGTCGGAGACTACGTGGAATGCGCCATTCTTCCACCGCTCGAAGATGGATCTGTTGCGCCGGCACTTCGTGGCGCGTCAGGACCGCCCCCCGGACCTGGCGGAGGTGGAGGTATGCGCGCGTTCCGTGACAATGGATTTGGCGGACGTGGCCGTGGTGGTCCTCGTGGTGGTCCTCGTGGTGGTGATCGTGGGCCTCCTAACATGCCACACGGTGACTGGAACCGCGGAGAGCGATTGCCAGATGGTGGCCGAGGCGGAGGTCGTCGTGGATGGGCACCCTATTAGGAAGCTCTGATGAATGAAAACGGAGGAAGAAAGGACAAAAGAGAATTACCAAAGGGCGATAAATACCCATGTGAAGTGTACGAATAGGCAGCATAGGACGAATGGAACCATAGGGTTACGATTTGCCAGTTTTGTACCAAGAGCCCAAGAGCTCGCGAAAGGTAACTGCTACGTAGGCATTAAGTTGAAGGTCGATTGATCGTGCTCCTTTCGTAACACACCTCGATTGACCCTCTGGGTCCCACGGAGTCCGTTAGATCCATCGCTAGCAGGATCAATTCCCCTGGTTAAGGACCAAAGTTAACAAAACATAAAGAAAATCCATGCGATATATGCTTGTAGTAGAGTACACGGCCCACGGAGCAGACACCGGCACAGACACGAGTCGACAAAATCGATACAAAATCCCCAATTCCTGTCTACCACGCCATATCACTTCGGGTCGCGGCACGGTCCGGGGAGCGGATTTGAAAAGGAACAATAATTCAAGTTTTCGATTGATCGCTAGCTGTTTACCACTCTTGGATGGTGTCACCCCTGCGCTTGCCACGGAATTCGTATTTGCCCTGTATGTCGTCAGCATGTGTTCCTTCACAGATCTGGGACAACAATCGCAACCCAGCAAAATGATTCAATGCATACCTCAGTCTTGTAGGCAATGTAAGTGAGAACACCGGGGATTAGACCCATGTAGACGAAGGAAAGCCATGCGTGGCGCGGGGTCCATTTCCAGTACTTGTAGCGGTTGGCGTTGAGTTCTGTAGAGTGAGTCAGTCACTGTGTCATGGTTGGGTTTTCGGTATCGTTCTGTGCAGGGGTCGTGGTATTCAAATAGACAAACACATCCTTGCTGGGTGTAACGCGCAATATCCGTTCGAGATGGGTCTGGGGAGATGGGGTTGGGGGATGTACCGTAGTATTTCTGGAGGGCCGGGTCAAGGACCAGAGCTGGACAATGAATTAGCACTTGAGGTCATCATTCTGGGACAATACTCACACTTGCTAGGACCGGCCATGGTTGCGGGGAGCTTTGGATCGTAGACACAGAATCGGCAAGTCGAGCATCGCCGGAGTTGAAGTTGAAGGTCACGTGTTGAGTTTGGCTGATGTAATCATATTTTTTGGTTCACACATTTACAAAGCACAGGTAGTATGATGCTTGAATTAACTTATAGAAATCAATTGAAATGATCTGCTACATCTCATGTGTTTCCATATTCAATGTCAATCATGTCATTATATCTGCCGTTGCGGCTCTGTTGCATATCTGACTCTGTCCAACCATATTTCGTGCATATCACATATCACATCAACGGAGTATTACAAGTCTGAGAGTATAATGTACAATCCGTTCCCTCTTCACATAGAAGCAGAGAACTTTCCGTCAATCTCCTCAATCTTCTTGACGGCACGCTTGTACCCCTCGGCTTCCTCCAGCCGTTTGGCGTATGCAGCGAAAAGAGGGTACTTGTCGCGGTTCTTTTTGTCCTTCAACATGCGGCCACTGACTGCGATCACCGCAAAACTCATGAGGATATCAGCGGCGGTCAGTTCCTTTCCGCAGATGAAAGGACCACCGTCGGGAGCAGTGCGCAGCTGCTCCTCGACGAACGCCAGGTTGCCCTCGACATTGCGGGTGAGGAACTGGTTCTCCACCTGCGAGGCAACAATGCTGGTGATGGGGCGAACAAAGAACGGAGGAGCATTCCGAATGGCTATTTGCAAATGTCAGTCGATCTCATTCAAATCGAGGGCGTAGCGGTTATAAGCGGAAGGCGAGCCACTTACAATCGTTAACCAGAGACATCACCAAGAAAGGCATCAGACTGCCCTCCACGTAATGCATGAAGTAGCGATAGCGCATCCAATTTTCGGTCTCTCCACCAACTTGGCCTTCACGGCCGGCCAAGTACCGTTGCGGAACTAGCGTCGGTCGCACGGCACCGAAGTGGTCGACGAGATATTCCATAATTGCGCCAGACTCGGCCAGCACCAGAGGTTTTGTGGCGCCCGGTGCCTCGATGGTGATCAGAGGCGATTTACCAAGTGGATGAACCTCCTTCAACTCCGCCGGAGCGAGCTTGTCGGCGCGGCGTTTGAAAGTCTTGAGCTCATATTTCAGCTGCAGCTCTTCCAGAAGCCAGAGAATGCGGTGACTTCGAGATTGCTCGAGCCTGTGCGCGTTAATAAGATTCTTAAACAGCTTTCAGAGCCACCTACCAGTACAGAGTAATCTTGCAGCCTTGGTTGTTGTCCATGATGTGTTGATGAAGCAAAGTTTAGAACTGGCAAGCTTGTCCAGGTTATCAGCGCCGGCAAATGATGTCAGGGCCGAGGTACACGATGGATGAGGTTAAATAGCCGATCTGCGGTTCATGTGAACTCGGTTGGGAGTCAACTATTCTGGGAGCTCTTGATGGGTTCGCTCATTGGTTATTGCTTTTCTACGCGTTCGTGAGGCTTAGGGTTCCCTTTTGATTACATGTATATGGACATTTATGTTACACACTGTGGCACGCTCCCAGGTTTAGGGCCCACCGCCCCCACCAACTTTAGGCACCCGGGCCGGGACCCGGGGGTGGCCATGCCTAAACAATCTCCGATTTTGGTGGATGTTAAAACGCCCAGGCTAGATAGGCGTGTCTCTTGTACCTCTCGAATCGATCGCCCAAATTAACGGCGAAATCAAATCATACTTCGATGCCGACTACAATAGCGGACTAGAAGCCTTCGCGAAGCAAATAAAGACCGTTTGTGGACTTGCTAGCAAATCGCCGACTGCAGTGAGATCTATTCTGCAGAACCCGAAGGTGAAGGTTGTTGTCGATTATGTGCTCAGCGTTATAGCGGAATGCTCGTGGGGAGATGCACATAACAAGTGCGTGTCGTCTCCGCTGTTGAGTTCTTTCTTTATGGTTCGTGAGGGTCCTGGTAGTCCTCGACAGGGTTTGCATCATGATGATCAGGATCATCATGTAACACTTACGCATGGAGACCCGAAGGAGACTACCAAGCCAGGTTGTTTTGTTGCCACTAAGTGGTAGAGGCTGGGAAGGTGATGGTATTCTATAGCCTCTAAAGTGACAAAGGAGAATGGTGCTACTGCGATTGTTCTCAATTCCCATGTCTGGGATGATGGACGCAAGCCCGCTGTCGAGGAATTGGCCTATTGGGAGATGGACGTTGGAGGAGCCTCTTGATTCTTGGAAATCGATGTCTCGGTGCAGGAGCTAATGTGACTGCCGACTCTTTCCGAAGTGTTGTAGTCACTTTGTTCTGTAAAGGCGTTAGTTTAGATCAGCGGCCTGATGATCATCGAACTTCAAAAATATCGCAAGTTCAAGGGAATGAACTGAGAGCACGGATTATGGGATCTGGCTCCGGTTGATCATCCAACTTTCGGGGAGTGGCTATAAAGCGTTGGAAGAAAGGCGGACATGCCCAGCCTCTAACGATCATTTTCGGCATTAATCCCAAAAGCCCTCGGATTCTAGATGTAAAAAAGGTGAGCACTATGGAGAATCTCGGCATGTGCACTGTGAAAAACCATGTTGACCATCCCCGCTTGATTCACTACCGAGGCATCCCCGTTATATACATACAGCGACCTTTATTAGTTACTACATTATAATCGATAAAAATTCTACAGATCAATCAATGGCACCACCTGCGGCATTTATTGAGATCCCAGACTCTTACGAGAGCCTCGATCTCACTCATGTGAAAGTCTCTCACTATCCTTTAGGAAGTCCGACAGCAACTCCGGTGGTGGTAGTTACATTAAATCGCCCAGAGAAAAATAATGCATTTACGCCGCACATGGCTGATAGCCTCGAGCTCGCGTTTCGAACTTTTCATCTTGACCAACGGGTGAAGGCGATTGTTTTGACTGGTGCTGGGAGGATGTTCTGTGCTGGGTCAGATTTGGAGATTGGATTTTCCAATGAAGGGAGAGCTGTCGATTTTCGTGATATGTAGGTTTCAATATGTTGACGTTGATCGCTTGTTAATATGCTTTTCCAGTGGGGGTCGAGTGGCTTTGGCAATGCATCGGTGTCATAAACCTACAATTGTTGCTTTGAATGGCTCTGCTGTGGGAGTTGGAATGACCATGACTTTGCCAGCTGCAATTCGGTAATTTCTATCTTCTTTTTCTCTATGTGAAAGGGCAGGGATTATTGCTAATTTGATTAGAATCTGCCATGAAACAAGCAAATACGGATTCGTCTTTACCCGGCGCGGTCTGACTATTGAATCTTGCGCCTCTTACTTCCTTCCTCGACTCATTGGTCTGTCTCGAGCCATGTCCCTGATATCAACCGGCGGTGTCTACCCCGGAAATTCAAAGTACTTTGGTGACTTGTTCACTGAAACTCTGCCAAACGCGGCGCAGGTTCTCCCCCGGGCTCTAGAATTAGCTCAAGAAATGGCAGAGAATGTCAGTCCGTTGGCATCGTCAATGAGTCGGGCGTTGATGTGGGAAGGCCCTAGCTCGCCGGAGGCAGCGCATCTCCTTGAGTCTCGGGTTTTTCACCATATGGCTGGTCAAAGGTGAATTATTCTTTATCGAGTAGATCCTGGTGTCTAACATGCAATAGTGACTACACGGAAGGGGTCAGTTCTTTCCTCGAAAAGCGCAAGGCCAATTTCCAGTCCGATCCTCAGGAGCACAGCCCTCTGAGCTATCCATGGTGGTCTGAAGTAGATATTAACGTCGAGCCGAAAAAGTCCAAACTATAAAATGGCCGGGTGATTTAATTCAAACTTGTTTGAATGCACTTGGTTGTAAATATCATTGGATGTTCGAATTAAACAAAATGTAAATAACGTTAAGTGGAAACCCTAACTTGAAGCAAAAACGAGTAAAGTCACGATGTGAGGATAAAGGGGCAAGCGCAAGGATCATCCCCTCCATATTCGGCTTGCATATCCCATGACCCTCGAATGTAAGTTGTTCGTCTTAAAAGGCCAAGTTGGCGCACGCCGTGAATAGTTCGCTGCGACTGGCCGCCAAGCAACGATCCTCAGCGGGCAGATGCGGCACGTGCATCGATCATCTACACTCTATACACATACTTGACTCCTTCAAAAGCAACCACCCCTGGCCAGCCCTGTTCAATATGTCTCTCTTCATGTCTCACAATGGCCGAATCTACGCCCCTCCTCTCCTCCCTCGAGGGTGAGGTTTGCAAGGTCCAACACTTCCCCAGTGCCCTCCGCGGCAAGAAGATCCTCCTCGCGACAGAATCATGGGGTCCCGTCAATGGAGTCAGTCGGACGACACGCAGTCTGGTCGAGTATCTGCGCGACAACGGTGCAGAGCTGATTCTCGTCGCGCCTCATTTCAAAGGCGACTCGAAGCAGATGGCATCTTCTTGGGAGCGCCGTTTGCCTGGCTGTGCCTTGCCCTATAACCCCGACTTGACAGTCGTCTATCCGTTCCAGTTGGCAGATGTCTTTGATCGGTGCTTCGAGCCTGATCTCATTTATCTTGCCAGTCCGGCTTCGCTCGGCTTCCAGATGCTCTTGCAGATCCGCCAGCTTAGATCTCCGCCGCCGGTCTTGCTCAACTTTCAGACAGACTTGTCCGCTTATGCGGAGATTATGCTGCCCGCACCGCTGGATCAATTCGGTGTCTGGCTCTTGGCTACTGTACAGGGTTTCTTGTTCCGCACCCGCGCCGTCCATACCATCTTTTATCCCTGCAGTGCCATCCGCCGGTATCTGGAGCGTGCAGGTGCACCGGTCGACCGACTCGTTCAGCTAGGTCGTGGTGTGGACACTATACTCTTCTCGCCGACACGGCGCGACGACTCATATCGACGACAGATTGCTCCTAAAGGCGAGATCATCTTAATTTGTGTTTGCCGCATCGCCCCAGAGAAAGGATTCGAGTTCCTTGCACAGGTTGTGCAGCAGCTGGCCGCTGACAAAGTACCCTTCAAGTTGCTTATTGTCGGCGGGAACCGTAACCCAGCAGTCGAGAACAAGGTGCAGCGCCTCTTCGACGGCGTCCGTGATCATGTCGTCTTTGCCGGATTTCTCACCGGAGCTGCTTTGTCTCGCGCCTATGCCTCGGCCGATCTCTTCCTTCATTGCTCTATCACAGAGACGTTCGGGTTGGTGGTTCTGGAGGCCATGGCCAGCGGTATTCCAGTCATTGCGCGCGATCAAGGTGGCCCCTCGGATATCATCCGCCATGGACAGACTGGGCATCTAGTCCCACCGCACGATCTGGAACGCTTCATCTCATTGGTCAAGGATGTTTCCCACGATACAGTAAGGCGAGCGACTCTTGCTGTGGCTGCGCGTGAGTATGCCGACAACACCACCTGGGAGAAGATCAACTGTCGGGCAGCCTGGCAAATGGCAGACGCGTTGTCACATACCGATCAAGAATCACAAGTACCCCGGCAAGCCGCTAGACGTGGAGTAGTTGGATCGATCTTCGAGCAGCTTCGACTGATTCTGGCTGTGGGGCTGGTGTATTTCATGTGGTTGATTTCGGTAGTCCCGTTGATCGTTCATGGGAACCGTTTCCTCCCAAGGGCATGGCAAGCTATCCAGGATCAGTTCCAAGGGACTCGTCCGTTGCGCAGTTGAACCAGTTTGAAGTTATGACCTACTTAATACTCATGATGAATGATATCTTTTGCAAGCGTTCCATTAAGTCCAATATCAATACATACGCATTCAACCTAAACCTACAATCGTACGGGCTCTGTATCCCGACGAACCAATACATGTCCCTCTGTAACCAAGGAGTTCTTGCACGAACGAGCAGCCACAAAATCCGATAGATTGCCTAGCGTGACCTCGGCAATCTCCGACAGTGCCTCGCGCGTGAAGAACCCCTGATGGCCACAGATCAGAACATTGTGGAAGGTCATAAGACGCATCAAGACATCGTCCTCGATGATCTCGCCTGAATGGTCATTGTAGAAGAGCTCGCCTTCTGCCTCATACACATCCAAGGCCAGCCCGCCCAGCTGTTGTGTCTTCAGTGCCTGAACGACAGCCGTGGTATCGATGAGTCCCCCGCGCGAAGTGTTAACCAACAATGACCCCGGTCTGATCTTCGCCAGTGTCTCCTCATTGATAAGATGTTTTGTGCTGTCTGTAAGCGGACAGTGCAGGCTGACGATATGACTCTCCTTCAACAGGGTCTCCAGATCGACCAGGGTCCCATACTGTCGGAACTCGTCCCCGGCGAACGGATCGTGCGCTAGAAGCCGGCATCCAAAGCCGTGGAAGATTCGCGCGGCGGCGAGCCCGATCCGCCCCACGCCGACGATCCCTACGGTTTTGCCATGCAGTGTATTCCCCAGCAGGCCTTCGATGTTAAAGTTGCCCTCGCGGACGCGGTTGTATGCGCGGTGTGTCTTGCGGTTTAGCGTCTGGATCAGCGCCACGGCAAACTCCGCCACCGCTTCGGGGGAGTAGGCCGGGACGTTCGCCACGAAGAGGCCTAGCTCCTCTGCGGTTGCGAGATTCACATGGTTGAAGCCTGCGCAGCGGAGGAGGATGGCACGGATCCCGTAGGCGTGGAGGGCTTTCAGCACCGGTTCATCTAGATTGTCGTTTACGAAGACACAGACGGCGTCACATCCCCGCGCGAGTGGCACGGTCTCTTCTGATAGGGAGAAGGCGTGGTAGTCAATGGTGCATAGCGAGGCGAAGTGCTGATCGCGCACTTGGTCTAGATAAGTGCGGTCGTATGATTTGGCACTGAAGACGGCTAACTTCATGATTGCGTTTGGGATTCAGGTCGGGGATTCCCCAGGTTTGAAGCCACACATGTAAGTCATGACGACATCCGGGGATCTGCAAGCGGCTATATTTGGGATGTTGTTGTACGATTGGAGGTTACTTGTACTTCCCTTGACATGTTACTGGTACATGTACATGGATCTGTCAGACGTTTGAGTCTAACGTTATCTGGTAACCAATTGGGGTAGACATTAGTGCGGTTGATCAGTTGTGACACCGAAGAAACTCCGGCCAAATAATGATTCTCAGGTGTATGCAGCCTCAATTTCGAGAACTGTTCAAAATCCGGTCAACCTGACACAAGCCGAGGTCCGGGTAGAAATAAATAAATTCGATGTACAATGTAAATGGCTTCTAAGGGGAACACTAGAAGGCTTCCACTTCTTCCTTCCCCTTCTGGATTAACTTTAAGGGGCGGGAATTGGCAACCGCAGCACGCTGATTGGTGAGGATGTGTCATCTCCGCGGGGCTCCGGAAGCGGACTTGGCCCGAAAGGTCAAGCCGGCCCGATGGACAATCTGACTGGCCAATCAGGGGTGAAAAGGTCGAGTCTGACCAATCAGCAGGCCATGATAAGACCAGACGCCACAACCAGCCTGATTGGTCATTAGCTTCCCGCTAATGAACCTATTCCGAAGGAAGGAGCGACTGGGAATGTGGCTATTCGATACGCCGGAGACTATTGTGTGCATTCCAGAGGTCGAGTGCATGAAGTACATCTAACTTACAGAGTACAGAATATATATAGGATACATGTATGTATATGAAGAGGAACATTTATTGAACGTGTTCAGATCAACTGCAGTAACATTATAACTGGGGAACTACAGCCCCGTTGGGTGGAGAGAGTGGGGAGACCGCATAGGGAAAGCCATCGTGCTTCACGGATAGTGACCGGTCTGAATCCTAGCATATCTCTAGACAAGAGGCAAGAGGCGGTCAAAAAGAGAATATGATTTCATGGGAATCTCGACCATTTCGGTCTGTGCCATCTGTGCCATGCATATGGAGAGGGAGGGATAAAGTACAAAGTACACAGTAGATGGCCGGCCAGGTAGTACCGGGAGGAAGTATAGATACCTAATATCCCTTCTCACCTCCTTTTGATGTGACATGTGCTACTTAATTGAGCCGCCTCCCTCTATTCTCGCATATCTGATTCTTTCTATTCAGACTCACTCTCCTATTCACTCCTCTACACTATCCTACTACGTTGATCTCACTGTTCAACAGTTCTTAGATCCAACGTCCCGTCCCCACTGTTCTCGGCCACTTACCGTCTATTTGTTTCCCCGGCTGAACGGCCAATTTTGCCTCCAATTGATCGGTCGCCGATTATTCAAGATCCCGCTTTTTTTTTTGCCCCTCAACTCCATAGGAGGATGTGCTGGGCGTTTTGCCGCTGCTCATCATAAACTCAGTGCTGTCCGGCTTTCTGCCCATAACTCGAGCTTCCCAACTTTAGCATCTTCACCTTCATATCCTTCTCACTCTTCATCATCTCATCATCCCTTACCTTGCATTTTTACATCCCACCAATCATGGCTACTCATGTCTTGACCTCGACCAACCTCCCGGCCAACCAGATCTCAGTCTATGGCCAGCCTTCTCCTACCAACTCTGCCACCCACTCTGCTACCAACTCGGCTTCCAACTCGGCTTCCAATACTCCCTCCAACAACTCCCCCACTTCTCCCCATCTCACCACGGCTTCTCTGCACCAGCTCCCTCTGCAGTCCCGCCAGTTGCGTCCTCCCAAGGGCCCTCTCTATGTCCCAGCTGCTCTCCGCCCGACCGAGCGCCCTCAGAAGTCGTCCCCTATTACCCCACCGCGCAGCGTGCATGGTTCCCTGGACAGCCTCAGCGAGGATTCCGTCGAACCCCTCAGCCGACGCTTCACCATGGAAAGCCACTCCAGCAATATCAGCAAGGTCGCTCAGCACGAGTGGATGAAGAACGAGTCCCTCGGTGAGGTGACTGGTCTTCCAACCCGTGAGCATTGGAAAGTGAGTATTCTGTTCCCCCTGGGTCTCTTTATAGGCACTGCGATGCGATGGCGCGTATGCGATCGCATATGTCGTGTGAGCTCGTCATTCGATGGCGTGCTCCAGTCTCCCCACAATAAACTTGGCTAACATTTCTCCAGGCGGACTCTGCTTCTTCCAACTGTGATTCTCCGACCTGTCGCTCCTCTTTCGGTATTTTCCTTCGTCGTCACCACTGCCGTCACTGCGGTCACGTCTTCTGCGCCTCTCACACTCCCCACCTCGTTCCACTTGACCAGAACGCTCGCTTCCACCCCGAGGGTGAGCCGTCTCGCGCTTGTGACCTCTGCTGGAGCGCCCACCAGCGCTGGGAGGAGAACCGTTCCGACCGTCTGAACAAGATTCAGAACAACATCGACGCTCAGCAGACCGGTGTGGCCGTGCCCAACTCTGCCGAGGACATGGACGCCAACCCCGAGGAACCCAAGGGCCAGACAGCCGAGGTTGCTGCCTCTGTTCCCCGTGACTGGAACTGGAGCACCTTCTGATTGCGTTTCCCGCTGGGTTACTGTAGCCAGCAGGCCTGCTGCAGCGCATCTACTTGATTTACTATCTTCACTTCTAATCATGCTATCTCGCGTGACCTGCTTCTTTGATTGGCGACGGGTTTTCGGCGTTCGATTGGCCCTTGGCCAAGGGCATTGTTTGTTGATTTTTCTTGCTTGTTTTTCCTGCGGTCTCCGATACGCATCATGTCTAGAGGGCTTTCTCGCCGGTTCTTAGAGACTCGGTCGCTTCTTGCTTTTTTTGCCTTTGCTTGCGATGTTCCGGATACCCAGCCGACTCCACTGAGCGGCGATCTTATTTGATTTTCTGTTTCTTTGCACTGGTCTTTGAACCGTGCGATGCGAGGGGGTTCGCCCTCTCCATACCCCCATTTGATCTAGTTGAATCTACTTGTGAGTCCAACTATTGAATTTGACTCTTCTCTCGTAGACTGCGTAGTGTACATCTCCATTATATCTCCAGTGTAAATCAACTCAAAGCCAATCTACGAAACATTCCACGATGCTCTATGCCTTCCTCGTACCAAGTCCCCAACTCCTCTTCAGTCACAAACCCAAGTCTTGCATACATCCGCTCCACATCCACTTGAGCATGAACAAGCACGAGGCCCTTCCAGGGCGGAGCACTCTCCCGCTCCGCCCTTGCGCCGATCAACGCAGCAGCCTCGTCTATCTCCGCCGCATGCGCAGCCGCCCACTCCAATGCCGCCTCCACTAATCGTCGCCCAAGTCCGAGGCCGCGGTACTCCGGCATGATCGCCACCCGAGTCAACTTGATACACGGCTCATGTGTCCAGTCGTACACCGCCTCTGCCTCTGCCTCTGCCTTTGGGTTGGTTATCTGGCTGTGTGGCGGCTGCGGCGGGGGGACCAGTCGAATGACCCCCACCGGTGTGGTCCCGTCGTAGATTACCCAGTGCCAGCTCCGGTTGTCGTCGCTATCGATCTCGGCCTCTGCGGAACAGTTTTGTTCGTCTACGAAGACGTGCATGCGGATTTTCATTGCATCGTTGAATGTGGTGGGGTTGGTGTTGGGGATTGAGGTGGGGAGGACTAGCTTTGCGCTGGGGCCTGGCGGTGGTTGGATTGATGTGCTGAAAATAGGGTTGGGTGCCATTGTAGGTGCCAGAAAGGATGTTATGGAGATGCACAGGGGTCAATTTGGAGAAGAAATGTGCGTAGATCGGAGATCTGAGCGGAGGGGCTGACCCAGATATACAGATGGAGAGATGGGCTGAAGATTAGTGAGTTGAGATATTAAAAGACATTTAACCTAGTCTGCACTATAACTCTTCAATACCAGAAGTTTATTATAGTCAACATTAAGCCAATGATGATTCCATACAAAGTCTCTGTATTGGAGTAAAGTAGATCAACTGTATAGATCAATGCAAACAGAGCAAACAACGTCAATTTGACGAAAATCCTCGACATTCCCCAATCAACATTCCACTCCAATGTCCCTCTACTTTGATGCGGTCGCTATCCTGACCGCGCCATCTTCGGGCGGCTCATTCAAGTCGAGAATCTACAGCGCTCGCAATCTGCGTGCAACCCCAGCGCAGATCTATGCGTTGATCACCGAGGCTGCGAAATGGGACAGCGTACTGGCAGAGGTTATTGACAAAGCAGGCATCCTTGCCCTTGAGCGCAAGGTGAGATTGACCGCAAGGAGACCGCTGAGATACCTGCTGACTGACCAAGTGATTTCTCTCTAGCTCTCTCCTCTTCTTGCTCTTCTCCTCGTCCATGATCACCTGCTCTCGAAAAAGGGTATTGCTGCCCCCGCGGCTCACCCGATCCGCCAGGCTGTTGAGCGTCACAAGGTTCGACTCAGGGCTGAGTTTACCAAGGCTCGTGTTCGTCGTGGATGCGCTTCGGTTGAGCAATTGAAGGCCGCGATTATCCGTGAGAAACGGGAAGCCGATGGCACCAGCCATTTTGTTTACCCGCGCTGGGTGCGTATCAACAACATCCGGACTACGTTGGACGAGCAGCTTAGCACTACGTTCAAATCTTATCGGCGGGTAGACAGCCTGGCAGCATTGGCTCCGGAAGACGAGCTGGAAAGCCGCAAGCCGGAGCCTCGGTTGTATATCGATCCTAATATCCCGGATTTGGTGGCTGTTCCTTTCGGCGCGGATTTCACTGCCTCGTCCGCCTACAAAAATGGAGAGATCATCCTGCAAGACAAAGCGTCGTGTTTCCCAGCATACCTTTTGTTGGGTGACCGTGGGCCGAAAGACCCATGGCAGGGCGATTTGGTTGACGGCTGTGCTGCGCCAGGCAATAAGACTACCCACATGGCTTCATTGCTAGCGAAACAAAAGAACAAGAAGAAGGATAAACAAAGAATCTTTTCTATGGACGCATCGGCTATGCGTTCCAAAACCCTGCAGAAAATGGTGGGTCTGGCCGGAGCTGACTCGATAGTCACTGTGCTACCAGGTCAGGATTTCTTGGCTCTCGACCCGGAAGATCCTCAATTCGAGAAGGTAACCGGATTACTGCTTGATCCCAGTTGCTCTGGTAGCGGTATTATCGGCCGTGACGATGTTCCTCAACTCACGTTGCCTGCTGCTCCGGCGTCCAAGGCCCCCAAGTCACAGGGCAAGAAGCGTAAGCGCCAGGCAGACGACCACGAGGAAGCAGATGGCGAGCAGTCAAAAGCTACCCCCGGAGCCCCGCAGGCCTCACCTACGGACGAAAACGACATCCCTGACGGAATAATCGATCCAGAGCGGCTCACTAAACTATCAAGCATTCAAGCACGAATTGTTGAACACGCTTTGAGCTTCCCGAATGCAACACATGTCACATACAGCACTTGTTCCATCCATTTGATCGAGAATGAAGGTGTTGTGGCTCGCATCCTGGCGTCGGAGGTTGCTCAAGAACGTGGCTGGCGCCTTTTGCGGCGGGACGAGCAGCCGGAGGGTATGCGTCGGTGGAGCAAGCGAGGTGTTCGAGAGGAGAAGCCCAAGGAGGGAGAAATCGGACCATCAGGTACGGTGGATCTCTCTGATGAGGCACTCGAAGCGTGTATCCGCTCATGGCAAGGTGATGCCGAGGGTCTGGGAGGATTCTTCGTTGCTGGGTTCATACGTGACCCCGATCATGCCATGCAAGCTGTTCCAGCTGCTCCAAAGAAAGAGCCACAGGAGCAGGAGCAGGAGCAAGACCAGGGAGACGACGACGATGAAGATGAAAACGAAGACGACGAATGGGGTGGATTCTCAGATTAGATTGAATTATATTAATGCAGATCGGCTAGCAACAGAAGCTGCTAGGCCGTCTGCTTGATACCACACATTTATCTTTATTGTAAAGTGCTTGACAGATTGCACAGATAGACCTAAAGGAACGTCCGCGACCGATTCCGGACTGACTCACTGGTATAGACGTCCAGTTTAACCGCAACCAAGACAGCCTCACGCGCACCGGTAGGCCCGGTTTGTACCTCTACTCGCCATTGTCCTGTTCGAACAACCCAGGCATCAAGGGTATGATCCGATCGCGGACGTTTGGCTGGAGGCGCGCCGTCACCAATGTCAGCCTTGTGCCCCAACAAGGCGAGGTATTGAGAGTCTTGTTGGCCATCCACCGTCAAGTCAGTTTCTCGATCGATATGGATCTTGATGGGGCCTTGTCCCAATGGCGGATGAGAATCGGGCAGTTTCATCTTTTTGGCTATGGCCTGTAATAACCCAGCGAATCTTTGCTTCGCGAGACCTAAGAAGTTGGCGCGCATGTTGCCTCCATCGACCAAGCTAGACTCGTCGCCGATTTCCACCACCAGATCGGCCGCCTTCTCGTCCACAAAGGGGCGCGCATACGTGACGTTTCCGCCCGTTTCAGAAGTATTATAGACGAACTGAATCCCTGACGGTCGCACGTCCTCGAGTCGGATGACAATCTCCGATCGCTGACTGAAGGGATTGGTCGTAATCTGATGCGAGATCAACCGCTGCTCCAAGCCGCGCAAGTGGAAGTAACGACAATCGCGCAGGAGAGCCGCCCGATGTTCTGCGTTCCGAATGTGCAGCGGATATCCGCGCAGCATATGCAGTAGTTCATCGAAGACATCTGCAGATCGGTTCGGTACACTTGGGGGTATGATGGCTGGAGGACGCAAAAGACCATGGCGGTCCAGACCGGGGAAGACCTCGGACGGGGATGCGAAAAAGGCAGCGAATCCGAGAGTGAAGAAATTGGGAGAGTCGCCAGGACTGGAGAAGATATCGCGGGGAATCTGGAAGTGGCGGTCGCCGATCTGGATAAAGCACTCGGCCTCGAAGAGCTGCGACATCAATCGGGGTACTGTGGCTGGTCAACTCGGACAACTGAAAGAGCTGTCGCTGGAGCTTACATGTATAGAATTGCGCATCTGCGAAGAGCTTCACGAATTGCGCGCCATCCTGTGGCCGGATGTGGTAGCCTGTCGCGGATCAGTCTCCGTCACCTCTGTCCACGAAGGCTCATATACCCTGGAGATGTCTAGCGATCTCACGGAATGTAGTTGGATCGCGATCGATGTAGAGAGTTCTAATGTTGGCAACATCGTGGTTCTGGTTTAATTGGTCCTCGAAGAAGCGCGAGAAATAGGATGGAGCTGTTCACGCGTTGAACCAGTGAGTCAGTGTTGGACCAGGAGGACACGGGCACTCACCATCAGAGGCAATGGAGGCACCGGAAAGACGAAATAGTTCGGAGCCAATTTGAATGGGGAAGACCTTTTCAGTCGGGAGAGTGCAGGCCATGATGATGAGGAAGAGAAGCCGGAGGGCGGAGAAATCCCAAATCCCTTTGCATCACGTCAAATCTCCAAGAGTTTGACAGTCCGTCTACATGATTCCCTCTTTTCCCTCTTTTCCCTCTATTCCCTCTATCCAGTCTACATGTATTGAGCTTCGTTGGATCAGTTCGGCTCTTTCATCTCGGCATTTCACATGGCACTGGAGCTCGGCAGCCGCACGAGCCTGTGAGGTTCACCGAACTGTCGATCTCCCCAGGAAAACACGATGACCACTTGAGGCAGTTCGCGGCCGTTGACTGGGCAAACCAGACCCGCCGAGCTCCAATATTGAAGATGTCTCCCCACAACCGAGGCAGCGGCCCGAATCTCAGGGTATGAAGGGTTTGGCGTGGAATTTCTGCCAATTACAGCTTCGACAAGCTGGACTTACCCTTGTTGGGGAGAGGGGAGGAAGCAGAACCCTCTCACTATTTATTCTCTTCCCCACTGTTCTGTAACCTTTGATTCTTGAGATTTAACCATGTCTCTTGAATCAGCTACCCCCAGGGAGGTCCCTCTGCCTCCAGTGCCCTCTGATAATTATTTTTCGGAGCTGCAATGGAAGACGCTATTTGCCTTGGCTGATACCGTCATTCCCTCCATACACAATGCTGCAACAACCAGATCATCATCCGATAAAGTCATCTCGGATGCAAAGTGGAATTCTACAGTGGCCAACCTGTCTAGCTTGATCGGTGGGCCCGATGCGACAAAGATCGCGACTCAATATCTACAGGAAGATGTGTCTTCAAACCCAGTTTTCCGCAGCATCGTGGTGCGCATCCTGGGCAACTATGTGCATGACGAGGGACGGAATGGGTTCGGCTTGATCATGAATGCGCTCAACACCCGCGCGGGCTCATTGATTTTGACCGGCTCAACAACTCCCATTCAAGACCAACCGGTGGAATTTCGGGAGAAGGTCTTCCGCGGGTGGGATACTTCGCGATTACCCCCTATGCGTACGGTCTATCGAGGACTCTCGGCCATTGTAAAGAAAGCCTGGGCTATGAGCAGCCCAACAATCGGCTCTGTGCTGGGTTTCCCACGAGTTCCCGTCCACGGTAAGCCCGCTGATGGCTTCCAATATGAATTCCTGCAATTTCCTCCAGGAGACCAGCCAGAGACGATTGAGACTGATGTTGTTATCGTCGGAAGTGGCTGCGGCGGTAGCGTAACTGCGAAGAACCTGGCCGAAGCAGGTCATCGCGTGCTGGTCGTCGAAAAGTCCTACTCCTACCCGTCCAGCGCCTTCCCCATGGGCCCGAGTGAGGCTTACGTCAATATGTTCGAGAGTGGAGGCGCTGTCTTCAGTGACGATAGCTCCATGGCTGTCCTCGCGGGCTCGACCTGGGGAGGCGGTGGCACCGTGAACTGGTCCGCCGCTCTACAGACTCAGGGGTATGTTAGACAGGAATGGGCAGATACTGGTCTGCCATTCTTCACCTCTCTCGACTTCCAGAAGAGTCTCGATCGCGTCTGTGACCGCATGGGCGTCAATACTGAGAAGGTGCAACATAACCACCAGAATAGTGTGATTTTAGAGGGTGCCCGGAAACTGGGCTATGCAGCCAAAACGGTACCTCAGAACACTGGACACGGCGAGCACTACTGCGGGTACTGCACATTGGGATGCCCGTCAACGGGCAAGAAAGGTCCGACTGAATCATTCCTCGTTGACGCAGCTCAGGCCGGTGCTACATTTATGGAAGGATTCAAGGCCGACAAAGTGCTATTCACCAAGGTCAAGGGCAAGCAGGTCGCTTCCGGCGTGAAGGGAGTTTGGAAGTCGCGGGATTCATACTTGGGACTCAGCGGCCCCGGTGTAATTGAGCGCCAGGTCATCATCAAGGCTAAGAAGGTCGTTGTTTCGGCTGGTACCTTGCATAGCCCCCTTTTGTTGCTGCGCAGTGGTCTGAAGAATTCTCAGATTGGTCGTAACCTCCATCTTCACCCAGGTAAGTCATTATCACTTTCACTCGGGCGCACATTGCAAATACTAACATTTCCAAGTTGTCGGAGGTGGTGCTATCTTTGACGAGGAGACCCGCCCTTGGGAAGGCTCTGCGCTGACAACGGTGGTCAATGAGTTCGAGGATCTTGATGGGCATGGACATGGTGTGAAGATTGAGTCGGTGTCAATGATGCCCTCTGTTTTCATTCCCGTATTCCCCTGGCGAGGAGGATTGGAGTATAAGTTGTGGGCGGCCAACATGCGTCGCAGCACGAGCTTCATCACACTGACCAAAGAGCGTGACACCGGGCGCGTGTATCCAGATCCTGTTGATGGACGAGTTCGTGTGGATTACACCGTATCCGCATTTGACCGCAAGCACATTGTGGAGGCCCTAGTCGCTAGCGCCAAGATTGCCTACATCTCGGGCGCCAAAGAATTCCACACCACTTACCGCGACCTTGATCCCTTCATCCGGCCTGAGACCTCGGATCCAAATGCCCCCGAAGGCACCAATGACGCGGCCTTGCAGAATTGGATCGCAGAGCTTCGTCGGAAGTCGCCCTTGAATCCCGAGCGTGGCTTGTTCGCCAGTGCACACCAGATGGGTACCTGTCGGATGGGCAAGTCACCTAGGTCGAGTGTTGTGGACCCGAACTGTCAAGTCTGGGGTACGGACGGCTTATATGTTGTCGATGCATCTGTGTTCCCCAGCGCTAGCGGTGTGAACCCCATGGTCACCAACATGGCCATTGCGGATTGGGCCAGTCGAAACCTCGCGGAGAAGATGGGATCCGTTCAAGGTGCCGTAATGGCTCGTCTGTGAAGATCTTGTCCTTTAGGTCCAGCTCACCTGGGCACCCTATTTTGACTTAACTAAGCGCTTGAAAGCCAGTCTTTGTACGTATGATATCCATAGCATGATTATCCCTACTCTATTGTTGACACCCATGATTCGGTAAAGCCGAAAACATTTGATTCTTTGATGTCTATGTAATCATTGGTATCTTTTCAAGTACTTGCTTAACCCTGGTAAGGCTGACGCTTCTCAACGAAGTTCTTCTCGCCAAAGGCCTGCTTGACACCCTCGGATTCGATGGTGCGCTCGTACCATCCGACGGTGATGGGGTACTTCTGGCGCATCTCAGCATCGATGATCAAAGAGAAACCCCAGACAAGTGCAGCGGCAACGGTGATATCAGCCAGACTGAGCTTATCTTCACTAGCGAACCAGGTGCGACCCTTGAGATAGGTCTCGAGACAAGCCAGCGAGCGTTCCAGACGCTCGAGGTTGGTCTGCTCAACCTTCTCGTCGTAGGTTCGGATCTTCAGACGCCACAACGCCAGCTGCGTCACAGGGTCCAGGATCTCACCCTGGGCATAGCAGATCCACTGGCGGATTGTGGCGCGCTCGGCAGGGGTAGCACCAGTCAGCTGGGCGGCGGCGGGTCCGCTCTCAGCGATGTACTGAGTGATGGCATCCGACTCGAACAGGTTGGTGCCGTCAGCGCCCTCGAAGGCGGGAACCTTGCCCAGAGGGAACTTGGCCAGGAAGTCGGGAGTGCGGTTGGTCTGACCCATGGTGAATGCGGGGACTGCCAGCTCCAACCCGTTAAGGTTGGCAGCTGCCTGGGCCTAGAGTGGGGGTTAGCTCTGACAATCTGGCATAGGAAGCTGGTAAGCTAACCTTCATGACCCGAGGGCTGGGCTGATAGGAGTAAATAGTGCCGAATGGTGCCATTTTGTGGGTGTATGAGGTGAAGTGGCTGAAAGCACTCAGAAAGTAAGTATTTAACATAGCGGGGTGGAACCTAGTGGAATCCGATTTCTAAGCGTAGCGGCCGTGCATTGTAAGCAATTGAAACAAATGCCAATTGAAGGACAGCGGTGAAGGAAGTAGAGAATGGAACTCATCGTGTAGAGAGTACGGCAGAGTACAGTAGAAGTACAGTAGAGTAGAGAGAAAGGGAAGTTCCAAGGTTGGTCGTCGGCTACTGACTTTCCCCCGTCAACCTCCAGATGTCCAATGCCAAATATCTTCAACCTCCCACCAGAGCTACATGGGCTCATCATTGATCAGTTGCCTATCCCTGATGTCCTTGTACTAAGACTCACATGTGCCTACTTCTATACTTTGATTCAACCGTCTCACCAGGAGCTTCTACAAGCGGAATCAAGTGACTGGGCCCGCCACCGAGACCTTTACACCTGCCGCTATTGCCTGCGCCTACGACCACAATGCAATTTCGCCGATCGCATGTTGCATCGACGACGCAGCCGAGCGAGCCGTGATAGCGACAAGCGATTCTGTATCGAGTGTGGGTTGAAGCCACGGGAAGGGGAAGGGAGTGCGCGATATGGACCCGGAGCCCAGGTGACGGTCCAGGGGGCTCATTTCGTGCTCTGCCTCGCTTGTCGAAAATTTCAACCGGGTGCGCAAGACCGACATGGGCGCAGTCTTTTGTTATGTTTGTCATGTTGGACGGAATCTCAAGCCGACAAGTCCCCCGCAGAGGATCTGCAATAATTTCATCACTTTAATTTACTCCACCAAAACGCCGAATTCGATACCTAATGGAGAGCTCAATGCCACACAAAACATCCAGACTTATGCCTAGCATGCCTCACCGAGGCGCATATAGTTCCAGCAAACTGCAATTGGGTCAGCTTTCTCTCACACTTTCCACGGGATATCAGAAACATACTGGTATTTCCCATGTCCTTCCCGAACAAGCTTGCCAGAAGATCCTCACCATGCCGGGTGCCCTCACTCGGGGTATAGCTGACGGCCTTGTGGCCAACAGCCAATCCCATCACAGACGGGAAAGGCTGCAGGGTCAAGAATTCTGGCTTCTCGCCAGTGCATTCTGCAGTCATGTGCCGATGAATGTTCATGGCGGCATAGTGGCCCATGTGCATTGCGCCACCACAGCGCTTGATACCTTCCCACGCTGCGAGGTCTCCCACTGCCCAGTGGTTCTCGGCGTTGGGAATTGCTCCCGAGAATTGAAGTCTGCGATGATCAGTCTCATTCTTTGAACATCTGCAGGGGCTGGCTTACGAGCGGTGCACTTTGATGTATCCTTCCTCATTCAATACTTCTTTTGGCAAATATGTTGATGTCGGGACGGATTGCGAGATAGCGCTCAGAACGTAGCCAGTTTTGAGCTGTCGACCATCACTAAGCGTGAGGTTCCAGACTCGGTTCTCAGGCTCTGTGTCTACGGCTGTTGTGTCAATGACGCGTTGGCCTAGGATTACCTCGACACCGGCTTCCTGTAATAGTGAAAGCGCACGCTCGGCAAAATCGTCTGGCAATGGCTCTGATGAAAGCAGGCGGTTTCGGGAATGGATTAGAGTAATTTTTTGTTGAGGATGAAGGACCCTCAATTCGGCTGCCATCTCGACACCGACAGCACCTGTTCATACCAGAAAAGGTCAACAGGAGAACGTATGCATGATTGAGATCATACGTACCTCCACCAACAACGATAACGCCATCACGGGCATTTTTTACATTTGCCATGTGCTCCTTCGCTTCGTTGAGGAACTCATCTCGTCGCAAGGATTGAGGAACCGTGGGGAACGATCGTCGCAACCCCGAGCTTGCAATCAGGTAGTCATAAGACTCTGTCCGGTTGGCCTTGTTTTCCGCATCGATGATGTGGGCGACCTTTCCAGCGAAGTCGACTGAACTGACACTTCCCTGGATGAAGCTGAGCCCAGGAGATTTCAAGCCGGGGATATCGCTAAATCGAGTCCATGCCTGCGATGCAAACTTGTCACAGGCCAGAGCCTTTGGAGATCCGATGAGATGGACTGTAAAGCATCAGCCGGTGCCATGCATGCTGGCCATCTCGAGAACCTACAATAGCCGTCTCTTTTATCAACTACAGTGATCTGGATTGGAATGCGATGCGTTGGGGCTTTAGTATCTGGGTTGCTGTTGAAGCGGGCAATGCGACCCTGTGAAAGATCGATCAGAGCTAATGCCGCAGCCAGACCGCCATAAGAGCCACCGATCACGAGTACACGAAAGCTCCGAGATACAGTTCGGACAAAGTCGTTAGAGGGCATGGTGTATAGCTATGATCGAGCAAGGCAAAGAGGGAGCAGAAGTGAGAAGAAAGGAGAAAGAGAAGAAAAAGATCTTAAAAGGAGCCCAAGGAGCAAGGAGCCAAAAGATAGAGACAGGAGAAAACAACTCTCGCGTCATGATCCCAACCCACATGCTGGTCCGGATCTTATCAGATTCGCAGCGACATCGGATATACAGTCCACGGGTGGAATGTTTCACTGTTTGTTCTCTTGGCTTCTTGGCTATCTGATCCGATTCCAGCCGGGAAAGGTGATCTGTATTGGTCTCCGGTAACAAGGTACTGACTTTCCTGTTTGGCACTCAAATACAGTGGCTGCTCTGGGTTCTGTGGCGCATCTTACGTGTTGCAGGATTCCTGCACGCTAGTTCCCTGAGGGTTCTGTGCAAGCTTTTGAGACAGAAACCACCTACTGTATTTGGGCTAGCAGGTCATCCCACATGGTTTCATATTTCAATAAGGAGCACTTCAGGCTGCACTATGTGAAGTCCGACCCACTTGGAAAGCCCCAAGACCGGTGATCCGGAATCCAGGCATTCACAAGTAGATGTAGCTAATGTTGCAGCAGATGTCCAGGTATGTATCGTGTATGTAATATAATACCAAGATCCGATGCACTCATGGATCAGTATTGCACTAGCCCAAACAGACAATGATAGGCGATCAGACAAGATTTCGCATCTAATCTGATTTCGGTAAACTGCACCGCGGTCAGGACCGACTTACAATACACGAAATGCGCCATCTGATAATTTGCGAATCCGCTTTTTTAAGAATTTGCACGGGGTATTGGGAAATCTAGACTCTATCTTTTAACACTGTACACTTGTGTTGTTTTATTTACTGGCGCTCAGCCAGCACCTCCGTCGCCAACTGCCGTAGCTCCACCTTCCGGACTTTGCCGCTTCCTGTTACAGGCACCGTGCTCGAAATTCCTTCCTCACCAAAGACAAAGACGTGTTGGGGAGCTTTGTGCCGACCGAGTGTTTCGCGCGTCCATGCGCGCAGCTCATCGTCGGTGGGTCGGCTGGTGCCTGCGACCGCGATGAAGGCTCCAACCACCTCGCCGTATTTCTGATCAGGGATTCCAATGACAGATGCTAGTTCAATTTGAGGGTGCGCGGTCAATCGCTCTTCGATCTCGAGGGGATAGATGTTCTCGCCGCCTATCAGATGTGAATTATTAGTAACTGTGTCGATCCATGGAGTAGGGTTGAAATTACCGCGGATGATGATGTCCTTGAAGCGACCGGTGATGGTGCAGTAGCCCTGCTCGTTGAAGGAGGCTTCGTCGCCAGTCTTGAGCCATTTGACGCCCTCGGAATCGGTAATGAATGTTTCGGCGGTCTTCTCGGGGTTCTTCCAGTATCCTTTGGTGAGCTGGTAACCAGCCATGCAGAGCTCGCCGCGCTGGCCAACAGGAACGATATTGCCTTGCGCATCAATGATCTTGGCACGCGCATGTGGTAACACCTTTCCGACGGTGGTCAGTCGCGTGTGGATGCTGTCCGTGGTGAATGCATTGAAGCATGTTGGCGAAGCTTCAGTGAGACCTAATTCGCAGGTTAGTTGAAGATCCATGGTGCACCAAAAAGAGATCGTACCGTAGCTACTGGTATACTCGGTCATGTTCAATTCCTCAAAGAGTCGCTTCATAAGCGGCTTAGGAACGGGAGCTCCCGCGATGATACCAGTGCGAAGGTTTGCGGTATCAAAGTTGGAGGGCTTG